AGTTGTTAATACCGTTACCAGCAAATTCAGTTCTGCTGCTGTAGTTGTGTTATAGTTACTATGGAGAATGACAATTTTAGAGCAGTAAGAAGAGTTGATTTCAGAGAATATATTAAATGGTAATGTCAAATCACAGTGTGATCACTTGTATCAGATCTGTCAATTAAAGTTTTGAGACTTAAAAACTGGAGATAAAGTTCTGTTTATGCTGTGTGAAGTTAATTTTTTACAGTCTACAATGTGTAGTGCTCACAGACTGTGTCCCTGTACTGAATCAAAGTAGATAAATCACCCTCAGATTTTTCAGCCTGTTTTAAAACTGAAACTCTGAACACTAGGGGTGGGCGATAAATTATCATTCATATATCGTCAGAAAAATCCTCCATGATAAATATTTGCCATTTCATGATAAATAAGATAAATGTATGTTGATGACGTAAGCGTGAGCGATGGTCCACATAGTCCACACAGAGCCGAATAAAAACAAACATGGCTGAAGGTGATGAAGAAGACATTTCTGAGCAGCTCGTTACTGAATGAGGCTCCACATAAGGGATTTCCCTTCAAGATTGGAGCTTAGATGAGTGCAATCAGGTATGTCTGACATCGGACAGTGGATCTGCTGCTGTTCACTCTGAGCAATAAGAGTTTTAAACAAATGTTAAAAAAGGTTTTCACATTTGAGACTTGTTTAATGTCATTAGTTTTCTCCATAACCTACCACTTAAACTTGTGGTTAAGTATCTTATTTGATTAGGCCAACTGGTGTTATCTAGACAAAAATATAGATTGGAATTATAATATTTTTTATCGGGACTTTTATCGTTATCGCCAGAATGGCAAATCATATCGTGATAAATTTTTTAGCCCATATTGCCCATCTCCACTGAACACATACAGAACAACTGCAGAGAGTGATATCAAAACAGAACCTTAAAAAAGACAATTAACAAGTGCGTGTTGAACTGCGGGTGCTGTACTTACTGTTCAATATGGTATTGAGAATTTACATGTGCAAATTCTTTATCAGAGGCTTTAAGGTTATAGTTGCATCATCAGTCCCTGCTAAATCAAAGGTGACCATCAGCAGGAAACTTTACCATGGGTGTTCAGTGTGGATGACACGCAAAGCAATAAGCAGAGCTGTTGTTTTCACGGCTAAAGGACATCAGAAATAGGGAAATGAAATGATGTCATACATATCAAATTCAGGAAGCTTTCCAATCTCCAAAGACAACCAGAGGGCAAAAACACGGACACTGCCTCAGGGTCATGACCAGGTCAAAGTGTTGGAAGAGAAAAAAAAACACATCACAAAGCTTTGGTTTCTCCAGGATGCCCTTTGTTAGCAGATATAAATATGCAGAATTGTTTTCCATGGAGATAAATTAATTAAATGCATGATGAATTTCAGCAGATTTGTGGTTACGACGCTGGTTTCCTTCCATGTTGAAGTTGTCACGGTCAACTTAAGCCATCATCAAATACCCTCAAATAGACCGATCAATCATCTTTTCATCACTTGCTGCAGATAAATAAAGCAGTGTTACTCACTTGAATCATTTCTACAGTCATCACTCAGTCAGTCAGTGTAGTGGTTTATGCTTCATTAGAAAATAACTCGCCTTGTTCAAACTTTCATCCAAATATTCAGATGAAATTGATTTAGCAGAGTCTGGTTACATGTGTGGACACACATCCAGCTGAAGTTCACTTTAGTCCAAAACTAAAACAGTTTCAGAGACCTGAACAATGCAAACATAAGATCATAAAGTCTAATCATATTAAGGAAACTGTTAGTCTATTCCAGAGAAAGGGATGACCTAATACAACCGAGTATTTTATTTATTTCCAAACCCTGTATTCAACCACCCTTTATCTGTAAAATTCAATTTGATCTTCACAATTGATGACAAAAACGCTTCCTGATATGGTCTTTGATGTAATTTGTATGACCAAGAAATTCACAAAGCTCTAACACCTGATAAACAGACAGCCAGCAGCGTAACAGAAGCCAGCGGAGTTTCCCCTCATATCAGTTTGAACCTTTACAACAGAGAGGAAGGAACTCCTCCGCTGTGGTCAGGATGCCTTTCACCACAAAGTCCGAATCCAAACGAGAAGCTGCCAAATGTGAAGTTAAAAAGAAAAAACAAGCAGTCCAGGCAGAAATCCAAGATGTAGCATAGAAGCAAAACAATCGCACATCTCACTACTACCAGTCACCACTCTAATTGTAAACTAGGAGCAGCCAGGTGGTGCTGAAATAACACATGTACTTATATTTAATATCAATAGATCGATGTAGGGTGAAGTAGGAGAGACTCTTTTATGTTCAAGTCAAAGGACAGGTGTGAAAGGAAGGAAACTCAGAGTGAAAGTCAATGTCTTCCTGTGAAAACCTTGAAATAATGTAAACATGTTTTTGCTTCAGTTGAGGTTGGAATCATGTCTGTTTACAATTTTACAAAACCAACAGCTTACTGCCACTATAACTTCAGACATCAGACATGCAGGACCACACAGAGCACTGACTACACGTTGCAACACATGTGCATACTTAAACTATACCGTCATGTGAGACAAATACAAACACTAACCACACAGCAGTTATTACTCTGTGTTTCACTGAGGGACTGAATCAAAGTGATTTTAGGTCACAGTTTATTGTAGATCATAGCGAGGACGAGGTGACAGCAGGACGTGCTCATGTCATATAACTGATACCACACAACCTGCCATTATATGACTGTTGTAAATCTGCATATCGTCACTGTCCAATAAAAAACACGTATCTCCAAAATGTCTTTATCAAATTAATTCATAAACTACCTTAGAGAACAAACCCAAAACACTATAATTAGACACAATTAGGACCCGAAATCAAAATCTATATTTACACAGTCATCAGTCAGTGTGTTTACATGCACAGCTGAATCAGACTAAGCTCATCATTCATTTTTTTCGCCGAATCAGACTTCTCTCCTTGCCCACGTGTACATCCAGCCGAGCGATCGGAATTAATGACGTGAACATGTCCTCCTCCCCAAAACTAGGGGGCAGAAGATTATGGACCGTTTGTGTATTGAAAAAAGTCCAGATCGCTAAAAGTGAAGATACGTATTTTTCATTGGACAGCAACAAAATCCTAATTGTGATGATCGACCGATACATCATGCAGCTCTACGACAAAGGAGACTCTGGACTATAGAGCTGCTTAAGTCCTATATCAGGCAAGAATGATGGAAATTTCACTTTTTCCACAAAACTCCAGAAACAATGACCTTGTTTCAAAATCTGAGGAGTGTTATCAAAAGATGCGGTAATGCAACACAATGACAAACATGCCTGTGTCCCAATTTTTTAACCAGTTGTTTGTGTCACATTCGAATTTTAGAGATTCAACAGGAAAAGTGAATCTTCTCGTCGACGGTGGATTAATAGCAGAGATATTAGGGTTGTCCAATATGCCCGGGGCAGACGGCCTTTTCAAGTTGTGTTTATGTTCTGCTAATAATCCAAACAGACTCCACAATTTGACTTGACCTGAATAACAAATGTTTTCAAAAGCAACCACAACACATGGCAGCACTTCAAGATCTGGCACCTACAACCTCAAATACACATCTCCAGATGTCTAACGCGTGGCTTCGGGCCAAAACAAACATATCAAAAACAAACAACTGTCGAGCGCAATCAGGAGTCAATGCTTTGTTGAGCCATATCTTTTTACAAATGACTGGGCAAAGGCACTAACAGTTTATGATGATTAAAGTGCAGCCTCTTGAGAGAGTGCTCGAGTAACTTCCCATACATACTCTATCTAGTCTTAAAAAAAAATCCTGCTTATTAGTCAAACGCTAGTTATGAAACATGTATATTTGTTCAAACAAATGAGAAAACTTTACATCTTGTGGAATTTCTAGGGCGAGTTAGGTTTCATGATGCAATTAGGCTGCTGCAAGAGAAAGCACACTATTGCATGAAGTCAGAGAGATGCAGCTCAACAGTGTGCAGGCTTTCTGTGCAAAGAGGAGACCACCATTGAGTACAGAGGCCCACAGGTCTTTGGTCGTAAGTTAAACAGTGAGTGAATCTTGTCAAAGACATCCAGAGAATGAAAGTAAAAACTAACACAAGCTTAAATCCCACTTTGTAGCCTCAAATGAAATGCAAGAAGTGGTCTAAATGACAGAGTGAAGAGTAAAACAACAATCAAGACAAACCGCAGAAACCCTTTTCATTGAGTTTCTGTCTACATTAAATAAAGGAGCAGAAATAGACAGAACATGGACATCGAGTGGATTCAAATGTTGCTTAAGAAGGGTGTCTTATTGCCACAGCACCCTCCTTGTGGGAGTGCCGAGAGAACCAGCACACACAACAACAAACCCTCTTTGAGAAGTTTTGACAGAAAGACAATTCATCAAAGTTTCAGAGGATGAAAGAAACCTCCCATGCTGTCCCTCTTGGTGTGGCCATCAGAAAAAATCCTGAACAAAGATGAGGATTTTGATGATTTCAACATCACAATGCAAAAACAACATCTCTGTTTTAGGGGTAATGATAAACGCCACATGGTTAAAATATTATCTGCAGGTAGAAGCAGTTTTCTCTTGTGCCTTTGGGAGTATTTTTTGGTTGTTTTGTATGACTAGGCCACATTACATAAGCGATTCCCTTAGTCCGACCTGGAAAGTCTCACACAAGGTTTGGCCCAGTGGAATTATTTTCAAAAACAGTCTCAGATGATAAATCTTGATTATATTTATCTAGATTTTTCATATTCAACTGTTTAAGAAAAAGCAGCTGGGCAAATTCCTTTTCTTTACAAGGCAATTGAGATTTTATGGTGCACACCAGCCAGATGAAGTGTAAATCCTTGCCAATGAAAAGGGGCAACATCCCAGTCTGAAAGGAAACTACGAAGGTCGGTGGATCGCATCCATCTCAAACAGCACTCCCAAAACCCCAAGAAATCATTCCAGCATTGTGGCTCATAACATTGGCCCCAAGGGAAGCAGACTTTCAGCAAGTTTTGATGAGGATATCTGCCCCTCTGGTCATGTTCACCTCCCACCATCCACTTTAAAGCAGACAATAAACTATAGAATCAGGAGATGCCCTACTTTCTTTTTTTTCATGTAATCACTTCAGTCTGCTGAATGATATGAATGATATGACCATTGGTTATGTGATTTCAGTTTATGTTTCTATATAGGTCACCTGTCTCACAATGAAAACATTGCACAGGTGTTCTTTCTGCAGACACATAACCTGGATTAATATTCATCCTGAAAGGGGCAAAAGTCTTGGGAAATAAAAGACCAACATGAGCGAGTCAATGAAAACTGGGTTGAGCGACTGCCAAGTAAGAAATCTGAGCAAAGACTCATTTTTCTTTGCTGTACTTAAATCATTTTAAAAGCCACCAGTTATAAAAAGCCTGCTGTATCTGCGTGTAATCCTACCTCTGTTTGACGCTGACTCAGCCACAAAGAAGCTCTGTCACAAGTTCGACCGCACACTAAAGCTACAAAAAAGGTTTCATGTTGCAGTGAGTACAGCAAATATCTCAGTAAACCAACAGCATGTTTATTTCCTGTGATTGATTATTTTGATTTATTAAAAGGTAGAGATGTAGAATTGACAGTAACACACTCTTGGTTTTACAGTAAGCTTCTGCCTCACTACACATTGGAACCAAGCCTGTTCCTCAACAGATTGCATGCTTAGCATTATTTCCAACTGATCCATCCATAGTAAAGTAACAATGAGAATTGGGTCAGGCCAGTAGAGCACGAGCCAGCTCAGCACAGCAGCTCAATGTTGACTGACGTTGGGATCCCTGGTTTGAATTAACAAGCAAGGTGGACAGGAAAAATCTGCCGTCTAGACGACTGACTGCTCATTTACTGTGACCGAATTGGTCCCTACAAGCCAACTTTGCTTGGCAAAGACCCTGCTCCAAATAGTTAGAGAAATAAACAGTCATAATCTTATTTTCAGCTGTCATTTTTTAGTTTACAGTTCTGAGAAAAAAAGGACTCTCAATCACAAACAAGAGCATCTCTGCAGGAGTCTGGCCCCAGTCAACAACTGATGTGCCACATTTTATGGCAAAACTTAATTTTAGTCACATGGATGACACATAAGCCTGCCGCACAAACAACTTTATCTTCATCAGCTGCCTGCAGAGAGAAAACTGAACTTGTGGTCCTCGATTTTACTCGTGGCAACACCATCTTATAATGTGAATCCATTCAGACTGCTCTGATGTCGCCAGGAACATTCTGTCCCCGGAGTACAAAAAATCATTTGTCAATCAGCTCTGGGATGCTCAGAGCTGATGAAAGACACTGTTTACCTATTATGCACAGCAAGCAAGCTATGGTGACTGAGAGGATTCAGCTGCTCTGGCCTCTCTTTGACACACATGGTGCTGGACGGATGCCACTGATGGAGGCTCGGAACTTGAATTAGTTCCCTCAAGGCAGATTTTCTGAATAGTTTTACTTTCTCCAAGTCTCTCGCTGAGAAGCAGTGAAATGTAGTTGTTTGCAGAAGTTTGGGTAGAGACAGCATCATTTATCATTTAGGGCTTTGGCTACTACTGCTACTCTTTTAAATCTCTATCTTTTTGACTATTTATTCTTAGAAATATGTGCATGGCTGTTTCCAATCATGAGTGAAAGAATGTGAGAGTTAACTTGAGATACACCATGCAAGTAGAAGCATGGGGGGGACTCCACATCCTTCTGCAGAGAGTGGGAGGGAAGAGAGGAAAGAGAGGGAAGAGAGGGAAGAGGTTCAGACTGAGGACTGCCTATAGTCGCAACTGTACAACGTTACGCCCATCATGAAAAAGTTGAGCTCTCTTCCGGCGAAAACAAATAAAACACAAACCATTGACAAGACACGGAGGATAAAAATAGACCCCCGAAACAGAGCGTGCAGGGCAGACGTGTAGCGAGACCACCGCCACGCAACGTTGCGCAACTACAATACAAAAAACATGGAAGCAAACACTTGGATACCAACACTGCCTCAGGCAATGGCTTTGTCAGAGAGACAATATCTTATCCAGAAGGACTAATATTTGTTTTGTATGTGTGTTTAGTTAGTGTGCCGTTGGTAGGGAGTGAAAGCAGACCCCCTGACCTGAGAAGCGCGCGACCATCAGGGACAGGATGTGACAGATTTTGAATCCATGAAAAGTTTCGATTGATCCAAGTCGATTATAGCGTCGTTTAGTGTGTAAATATCCACTGGTCTCCAGCCAAAAGGCGTGTGCTTGATCTGTAAAGACACCCCAGTCGGATTTATTCAGTACCTGATGTTATACGGAGAGAAGAGAAAGTGTTTTCACTCTCTCTTTGTAGCTGTGGAGCTAACATAAAGCTAGTCGCAAAGCTATCAAGCAGCAATATCATCACACACTCAGCCTGACGGCCTGGACACAAACCCCGTCTTTACAGCTCAATATGCCGCCAAACTTACCGGCTTTCTCATGGTCGTATCCAACCACAGTGAAATAGTCAGCCAATCTAGCCATGTCTGCTGCTTTTCCCGAGATATACCAACACAATTCAGCATTTTTCCTTCTTCCAAAGCACAGCCATGTTTGACAGACGGAGCGGCAGTGCGCTTGCGTGGAGGAGCGGGAGACATCCATGGGCGTGGGCCCTGGAGTTTACAAATACAGCACTGTGTCCCCTACAGAGACCCCCTTAGACGTGGATGTGGGGATCTTTACCCAGTTTATATCAAAGACAAATTCAGCATCGGTTTAATTCTATAACTGTGGGGAAACACAGAGGAAACACAGTGGGAGACCTGTTGATAAGCATTGTTGTTTAAAGGAAATAGGGGAGAGTGGGGTAAGATGAGCCATTTTTCATATTTCGGATCACTACATCAAGTTAATCATAGTTTTGTCTCAAACTAGTGTATCTGCATATATTTCAAGATGTTGTACACCCCTGCAATCTACAATAAACTGCACTTTATAACTGTAAACCAACTTAAAACCTTTCAAGCCTCAAATTCATCCAATATTGCACTACTGCATAAATTATCTGTCATATACTTATATTTATAGTCTGTTCATAGCCTTCATATTTATAACCATATATATAATCTGTTCATAGCCTGTACATACTTATAGTTATAGCATACTCATAACAATGTTATATACCCATGATACAGTCATGTATATACCTTCTTCATACCATGCACATTTGTAAACATATTTATACTTGTTAAGCACTTCTGCATTTCATTGCTCTGTACTTGCGACATGTGCAATGACAATGAAGTTGAATTCTATTCTAAACCAACAGAATGAGTGTAAACATAACTGTCTTGATGTCTTGGATGTTTGATATTCCCTGGGGATCTAAAACAGCGATCTGACAACAGCTGCTCCAATGTGTACTATAAAATATTTGACAGGGTAATGTGTTCCATCAATATAATAAATGGGATGAAATCTTAGAGGGGCTTGTAAAGATGGTGGTGATACTTCAGCTTGCATTCCAGGGATACTTCATTTGGGGAAGGATTGTCCTTAAAAGCTCTCAACTTCAACTGTAATTTAACAACAAATGTACCAGAGTTCTACTTATAGTCCAATTTACATACCCGACACACAGTTCCTCTTCACATGAAAAATCTGCTCCGATTGCAACACGAAATTGACTCGCATTTATCCCACTGACTCACACATTTGTTTAACCCAGTTTCACTTCTTGCTTCAATTTTTCAGTGTGCTTTGACCAAAAAAGAAAAAGAAAAACATTCTTTGTGTAATATCAGACATATTTTGTTTTGAGGTTGCCCTCTTACGCATAAAGCTGTTGTGGTTTAGATATGCAGTGTGAGGGACAGGGCAGTATCATGTGGTTTGTGCAAAATATTGAACATGACAACAGGAAATTCTATCACAATTAATAGTACATGGAAATCAGCAGAGCAGAAGATGTGTGTGAGAAGAGCATACATAGCACGGTAACTGTCAACAATAGCAGGAACACAGCAGACAATTTCCACTTGGTCCTCATCCCTCTTTGCAGTCACTATCTCTCTTTCTCTCTCTCTCTCTCTCTCTCTCTCTCTCTCTCTCTCTCTCTCTCTCTCTCTCTCCAACTATCTGCTTTTGTTTGCTTAGAAAAGAGGACAAAGCCTGAGGTAGTGAAATAGTTGAAGTGATGCCAAACCATTAAGGATTTAAGTGTGTGCTATGACACAAGGCTGATTGGAAATCATGGGACCTCAAACAAAACGCTTTTCCAGGTGATTAACATCTCCAGGTACAACGTGGCATGATAGTTATTATGAATCATATGTCATGTTTATGCCTTTGGGGTTGACACCCTCTTCTTCCTGGCACATGTGACGCTAGCTGCTCAGGTTTCCTGCCACACGTACCTGCCTGACCGTGACCTACAGCGTATAATAAGGTCTCACAAAAAATGTCATTCATGCTTTGACAGGAACTGCATGGGGTTGGGGAAAGATTTCTATATAAGGAGCCAAAAAGCAGCGGCATAATTTTGTTGTCCTGATTGCACAATCTCCTGTTGTAAACTCTGCTAAGGAGATTACTGCTCTGCCAGAGGCAATTATCATTACAAAGTGCTTACAAAACATTTGCTAGTTTGCAGCACATGTGTTCAACATTTATGCATTTGTCTAGGGGAATTCTGAATGTGACAATATGTGGAACAAGGTCACATGAGCTATAAATAAACTCTATCAGAGACTTAAAGCAAAAAGGTATGAATTATAGGAGGATGATATGAGAGGAATGTCAAGTGTTTGTGTGAAAAAAAAATCATGTTTATGACGCCCAAGAGACTTTTTTCCTCCTCACTGTAACTGGAATAGAAACTAAAACTGAGAGGAGTTTTGTACCCCACCTATCAAAATCATTGATACACACATTTTGGAAATTTCTTCTGTGGAATTTCTGTTTTTAAATCCAAATGGTTTTTCTCAGGTTATTACATTATTTTGTATTTTAACATACTGCGTATGATCACAATCTTTTTTGAATTTCACAGACTGAGTTTCTAAGGGGTGAGATGATCATCTCATATGCAGCAACATGCTTAAATCTCACTATTTTCTTGACTGTGATTCAATAGGAGCACTTCAAAAGTTACCTAACAAATGTGTTTTTTTTGGAAGGGATTTGCGTGTGTTTTTCCCTCAAGGGCGTACTGTCCACATCTGCCTCATGAACCCCACGGACGTAAGTGTTCAAGGCTTAAAAGAGTGTTTTTCAAGACTCTGATTTGAAACATCTTACTTTCTGTGTTGCTTCACTTATTTAACATACTAGCACACATGGGGACATATGTGTTCACGTAACAGGAGATAAAAGCAGGTACAGGGTGACTCAACGCTCTCTACCTTATGAAGTCAAATGATGTGAGAAGTGATGTCCTCCCCAGCAGACTTGATGGCTCTCTCATTGTTTCACAACATACTCCTATGTTTAAATTCCTGAGACAAAAATGAAGTCCAATTACTCGTAAATCATGACAGTACAAGAAAGTCAGCAGAACTACTTTCAAAAATGTCTAAGCTAATATTGTTCTATCGTCATCGATTGTTGTTCAAGTACATTTTTCCAGACTGGTGGAATTTTTCAGGGGATAATTGTAAAATTCCATTTTGCATTTATCAAAATATCAAAATAAAGTACATGGTAAGTCAAATATTTGACCTGAACAAACAAATACACAGAGTTTATTGTGTTTATAGTTGGGGAAACATGCTATATTTAATCAGTTACTCAATGCTTGTCTCAAATTCCTCATCTGAAATTCATCAGGCAGCGTACTTGAAGCTGACATGGAACTTCACTGAGTCAGGGAGTGCCCTGAAAAATGACTGTGGACACATTTCTCATTATTACCATTATTATTTTTTTGCATTTATCAAGTTGGACTGAAAAGAAAGTCAACATAAATTATATATTACTGACCTTTAAGTTCAAATACAGTGAGATAGATGTTCAAACCTTGTCTTTTGTGACTGTTTAGACCTCTTATACCTCTTTCAGAAAGCAGTAAGCTGAGATGAACATGCTGAACTCTCTGTGCGGCAGCTAGAGACTTACATAACTAATGACTTTTGATTTTCTGACTTTGTATACACTTCTTTAAATACAGTAAGCAAGATTTTTAAAGAAAAAACTTAACTTCATTTATACTGAGCTGTTTAAGAGTGAAAGTTTTGCCTGAGTGACAAAAAGGAAACAGGACACATACAGGATGTTGCAATGAACTAAATCTGTGAACTTTAAAACGACTCTCCTTTCACTTTTCAAAGTTTTTTTAACTTCAAATTTGATTTTTATCCCTCTTTCATTTTTGTACTCTACAAGCAGCAGCGCAGCTCTGGATGGGGTGGGGGAAAAGGATGAGAGCCCGTGTGTGTCAGTCAATGAGAGCCCCTCCCACCTCCTGTATAAAGGCGGCCTGTCTGGTGTGTACGAGCTATTAGCAGAGTGACACAGCTGCCTTACAGAGAGCCAATTTCAAGAAACCTGTGGAGTACTCTTTTGTAACTACAAGAGGAACTTTTTTATCCAGCTGAATTAGAAGATCACACCAGGTATGTGCATTCCACTTCAAAGTAGATATTGCCTCTGTTCCCTGCTGATGGCTTTATCCTTGCTTTTTTGAGGTCAGGGCACAAGTGTGGAGGCAAGGACAGGTTATCTGTCTGGTTATATAAGCAGTTCAGTTCTTAGCGTGTGCGTCTGTTAAGGAATTGCCTCCAAGGTGTAAAGCATCTGACAGTGGCAGATCATCATAAGGAGTTTAAAGGGTGCTATGTTTTTGCTCAGATGATATGAGTTAGATAGCATTTTAAGTTTGTTTGACTTTTGAGCTGAGCCTATTTTGGACCCTCTCATTGGTAGACTGTCCTTGGCGTTATTGGCCAGAGGCCCAAAGCATGGTTGTAAGTTTACTTAACCGAGCAAAATCTGACCTTAGCTTAACATTTCAAATAAATGAATGATAAGTGCAAGTAATTTGGCCAGTGGACTTTAGTGTAAGCAAGCAGCAGTCTGGCTTCTTATGAGGGAATGTACATGCATTCAAACTGTAAAACATTACTTTAAAACATGAACTAATAAGTTAACCAATGTTCTGTTCACTCTTACAGGAGTCAAAATGAATTTCATGTTCCAGTCCTTCCTCTATTGCTGTCTGCTGGTGACAGTAGGACACTGCTTGGAACTTGAAGTGAACCCCGAGTCCAAAAAGAGGTGAGTTATTGATTGAATGTTTGAAACATTTGTGATGTGACAGCCTGTCAAGGCTTTGACAGCAGTCACCTGTCTCCTGAATTATCTTTCTAAGACTAATGGCCTTTTTTCTTTCCTCTCCCAGACTGAGCATATGGCTCGGGAGGAGATTGAGACGGGATCTTGACAGTGTATCAGTAGAGAAGACAGCACAGTTGGAGCACTTTGTCAGACCAGACGATATCAGGGATACTTTGCTGCCACATTCCAGGTAAGACATTAACCATGCAGTGCTGAGAGTGCACAATCTGTTGTTGATTTTTCTCATTTTTTTCTCATTTTTGTTCATTTCAAAGTAAATAAATGCTCAAAAATTCTGAATTGAACACTGATTAATTTCTGTCTCTCTTTTTGTTCTTTAGCACTGACATCAAAGTCCGAACTAAGAGGTCCAAAAACTCAGCCAACCAGCCCAAGAGACAAGGCTGCGCACTGGGCACTTGCACAGTGCACGATCTGGCACACCGTCTTCACCAGCTCAACAACAAATTCAAGATTGGGAGTGCCCCAATAGACAAGATCAGCCCACAGGGATACGGCCGGAGGCGTCGATCTCTCCCCCCACACAGAGTCACACTGAAGCTGGAGCAGGGCAGGCTGAGGCCCGTGTGGAGCATAGCTGACTCACAAGTTCACAAGCTGGAGGCTCTTCTCAGACGGACATGAGCAGGACTTTATGCAAGAGGAGTCGGGAACAAAAGCGAGGGAGTCAGTGTCCTCACTGTTCTGTTCTGAAAAGATTCTCGAAATGCCTCAAACTCTTGCCAAGCTTTTCTCCAGCGCGTCTTTTTTCCTGGCAGGAGGACTGAATCAGAGCAAGAGCGGCTGCACTGAATTTCTGTGAATGCTGCAGCTCGGAGATGGAGAGAAACCAGCAGCTGGCTTACAGACACTGGATGGCACGGCTTGGAGCAAAGTGCGGGTATTACTCTCTGTGAGAAAAGCAGAGTGGTAATACCTGGAAAAGTGGACACATCCTCTGGCTTAAAGAAGGAACTCTCTTCTTACATTCTGGGACTTAACACATTTCTTCCTCAAGGCCAGGACTTTGATAAGTGCTATCCTCCAAGGATATACCACCATGTTCCAAACTGTCAGTACTTGTATGCACTTTTCCATGTGGACTTAAAGTCAAATGAATCATCAGGAAAAGACATCTTCATTGAAATGCCAACAGGAACATGGGGCTTAGGAGCTTATATAAAGTTTTGGACACTGTATAAGGGAAAATGCCTTAGATTCTGTGAGATATGTGCCAATCCACAATGGATTGAAATATACTTGAAATTGTTGTTTTATGTACAAAACCATGTGCAATCTATATTTGTTTTTATTGCAGGTATATGTATATATGAATTCCTTTATTTAAATATTATATGAAAATTACATTAAAGTACTTATGCAGATAGAACTATTTTTGTACAGGAAGAAATATGTATGGGCATTGTAGCTATTTGTCATTATTCTTTTTGCAAACTGTGGTAATAGGATATGTGTTTTATAGGTATATATTTTTAAATGTGCTCTATTTTATTTGTGTCAAAGCAATTACATTGTCATTCAATAAACATTTTGCATACAAAATCAAGACCTCGTCTAGACCTCCTTCACTCCTGGCTCTGGTAAATTGAATGTGGTGCTCTATTGTCTGGAGCACACTCCTACAGAAAGACACACAGCACCTGGTCTCTGTTAAGTGATAACAGGGTCTCATTAGAGCCCCCCCCTCCCTCCTCTCACTACATTCCCATAGTTATGACACCCCCCCCAACCCCTAAAAGAAGGGCAGACAGGGTGCCAGGCGCATTCCTGCTTGGTTCAGCTCATATTTGTTGGCTCAGCCCACACCGCAGAGCAGCTCTTAAGCCACCAGAAGAGGCTGAGGCTTTAGCTCCATCTGGGTTCAATGCGAGATGGTTGGGACACAAGAAGGCCAATGCAGGGGGTTCAGGCCAAACATTCCTGCAAGAGAATCACAGAAAAACAGCTCCAGTGAGGCACTGATAATGACCTTCACATTCAGACAGACCCCTGGGACTGATCAACACTGAAAGGCTGCAGCCTGCTTTACTTTACACATTAACACCCCCCTCCCTCTTTTTTTTTTTACATCTTTAAGGCGCGTAAACTACACCAAGAGAAACAAACAGAGTATATATTTCTCTTTTGGCTCTATTCACTTTCTCTCTTTTGATGAGTCCTTGTCTGAAAAAGGACAACTACCAATATGTGCACTTTGATTTATAGATGGAAAAATGTGGCATAGCCATGACAGAGATAAATGCATCATGAGGTACAACTGAATGAAATCCAAAGAGTGACAACTCATTCTCTAGCTTTTCTTGCCCCGTAGGCTATGGCACAAACGTTAAGTCTATTTAACCACAAATAAAAGATGTGCATGGATTTTTTTTAAGTCAAACTGACTTCATCTGTGGAGTAAAATCATCATTGCTGCTTGTTTGATTCCTTCATAAGCACTGGCTGCATTTCCATCCTGTTTTTCATCAACAGTTCTCAATGAAATCATACAGGAAATGAAAGATCAACTCATGACTGAAAAACAACAGAGGTGGCTTTGATTTTTGGAGTACTTCATACTGTTAAAACGCTTGATCATAATAATAATAGCAAAACAAATAAATAAAAAGATTGGCCGGAAACTGTTTCTGCTTTTGTTTAAGTCACTTAAAAGGAGCTGTTCAATACTTTGCAGCATGATACAGAAACAGAGCGAGGGTGAGTGTTTTATGTTCTCTGTTGCCATCTAGTGAAAATATATTAGTAAAACTACAAATTTTGATATTACAGGAAGTATGACTAAAGGCGAGGAATGGGATAAACCCCTAAATTTACACTGTCTTCTACTGTGCTCTAGGTCTATGTGAAGAAACACTTTACTTTTTAACAAAATCTTATAAAAACTTACATCCTGATTTGTCTATCCACATTAAAAACAGGAAGTTCACTGAGCTGTAAGTCAGTATGATTTAAATGGGGAGATAAACCCTAAATAACAGAATTTTTCCACCTTTTTTGTTGTTCTTCAGGAATTTGCCCATTGTTTCACATGACAGCTTAAGCAAGACTAAAAATATGGGGAAGAGATGGTAGAAATGACACGTACCAGTCAACTGAGGGTCGGGGTCAAGCCGTGGGATAAGAAGGTGAGCACTTTCTCTCTGTATATGGGGCACATGCCACTCACCAAGCTTTGACATATCCATGGTTAATGAACTTAAACTCTACATAAGCTTGTTCTTACATTGATATAAATTACACCTAAAGATGACACAATGACATGTTGCAAGTGACGTATTATGGGTTTTCTAACCTATTTGTTCCAGCAGTAATAGTAATAATAATAATAACTTTGTAAACATCTGTTTTTAAAGGTGCTATATAAATGAAGTGCTTTAACAGAAGAAGCAAACAAAGGGAGAAACAGACAAAGGAAAATTGACAATTAGAAAATGGATGGTTAAAAATGGACAATTAAAGATTGGCGGTTGGTGGTTGACGGCATCACATCAGGCAGGTGAAAAGGAAGAAGGTGGATAGAGGAAAGATAAAAGAGGAAGAGAAATAAATCCATACATACATACATATATAATAAAATTAGATAAGGTAAAATAAGAGTGATAACAAAAAAGGAGGGATAGCTTATCCCAAAAACAAACCTGCAAACCTCACAGTGACTACCATATGTTGGTGACCTGCAAAACAAAATCCTGAATGAAATTATTAAATGTCTTAGAAACTCAACAGAGTTCATATGCCATCTAGTGGTTGATAAAAGGATCAAATTTAATGGAATTATTCATTCTTAAAGAGAAATCCATTTTCAACACAGACTCTCTACCCAAACACAAACAGAAAATAACAACAACCTGCCCTGTGTCTCTCAGCACAGTTCAGTCTAAGAATAGAGTGAATGGATCTAGATCTGGTCCACTAAGTGTACTCTAACTGTGTGAGGATGTCACTGCCACAGTAAGCCAATCAACTGCTGACGCCAATGAGGTGAGAATGGCATCAAGAAACTGAGCAGTGTAGGTCAGCCGGTAAAAAATAATACCCACTTCCTCTTGGACTTAGAGTATAATGACCTCCGAGACTTAAAGTTTTTCAGCTGTTGTGTTGAGACATTTTCAAAGGAGTACAAAGAATAACTTTAGGACTTGTTATATTTGATGCCAGCTGAGATGTCCTCTCTGTCTTAAAGTGACTGCCAAAATATGACTTAGCAAAAACTGGGACTGCTGAAGGTGTCATAACTAAATCACACAGTATTTACACAGTTTGAGGCCCCACTCGTTGATAAACTGTTATTGATTATTATAGAGATGAGCAGAAGAGGAGAAAAGCAGATTGATCAATCTGACATACCTCTGTCAATCAAAATGACACAGGCCTGGTGCTATGAATCAGTCTTCTACTACCAGCCCTTAAAGTACACTGATAGCCTGAGCTGAGAGGATTAACCTCGTAATCTCACACACTGTCAGGCTAAATCAGGGAGTGCGGGGCCCCTGCTGCTGCTTATGGTCACAGCAGTAAATCTGGGTCCTGTGTGAAGGGTTCAGTCCAATTATGGTGCACTGCAAGAATGCTCACTGTGCTCTGGAGAAGTGTCAGAGAAAGTGTTAGGCTGTCAAACACTCTCCACATATTGAAGTTAAGGTACCTTCAACTTTTTTCCCTGCAACAAAAACTTCATGCATTCATTTATAGAGACACTTACTCTCATGACGCAGACTGATGACGTCAGTCCGGGTGACTGTTCTGAGATTTTTTTTTAATCTTAGTTGGGTAACTGTATAAAAGAGACCATCTATAGATAGTAAGGCTATAGTGAACCATGTAATATCGCTGAAAGACGCATCCTTTAATGCAGTGGTTCTCAACTGGCCTCACTCTGGGACCCGCGTTTTCCCATGGTCCTTAAGTCGCGACCCACTTTTATAAATTCAAACCAAGCAGATTTATTTTTTATATTAAAAAATCTTTAAAGACTCAGATCTTTAACATAAATACACCCATATTATTGAGTAAAGTGCATTTCAGAGCACATAAACTTGACGACAAATCCTAAAGTTGCAAATACAGAAAATATCAAATTGCACAAAATAAAGACCAAAAAAAAAAAAAAAAATGTTTTTTTACTGCATTTAGGCCACATTAATAAGAAACTGAGGAGGACCACAACATAACGCATACCTTTCAAAATAAGCTATTTTTCAAAATAAAAGACATGTCAAACATAAGATGTGCATGAAATATTTACTTTTTTGACCAGCTGTTCACGACCCATCCAGATGTGTCTGCGACCCACTTTTGAGTTGGGACCCACCAGTTGAGAACCACTGCTTTAATGTACAAGAGGAAATCATTACCTTGCTGTTACCACTTGCTTGTCTGCTTCTGTCCTGCATTTAAGCCATCATCCACAAGAGGACAGCATTATTCTCTGCAAAAGGGAGAAAATCTGGAGAAACGCAGATTTTTAAAAAATAAAGATTCTTTTGAATCACATTTAATACTGCATGGGAAAAAAATAACATAACAGTTACAAAACCATCTGCATCCTGTGTTCTTGAAGCTGATGACCTTGCACTCAACTCCGGCAATGAAAGAGTTAAGAATGAAGTGATGGGCACTGCAGGGCTGTGGATGTGATATCATACTCTCTAGCCACAACAGGAGCACAGCAATGACTTGGATGTTTCTCTGAGGGGAACTTCTGCTCAGTTTGTTCATGCTCCAAAGACAGGCTGGGTAGGTGAGTGCATTTTGTCTTTTTGCACAATTCTGCAACCAAAAATTAAGAATGCTTTATGCCTGGTGTGTTTGCTGTGTATTTTTCTTATACTGCATGGAAGATGCAACTGGTTTGTGTGTATTCATACATAAAGCCATTCATACAAACTCTAAAAATACTCCTCGACTTACAAAAACTGAATCTGACAAGCAGTCAAGAATTCATTTATATACACTTCCCCCTCTTTATCTTTCCTCCCCCTCAGGCCTGGCCACAGGGAAAGATGAGAAGAGGAGACTCACCACTGAGAAAGCAGAAGTCAAGTCCTTGCTTGGGAAAGAGTGAGCCTTTTTCTCTGCTTTCCTCTCATTCCTTTACTTAAATAGCCCTCTCTCATCTTGTTGACCTCTCCCTCAGATATGACTTTGACAGCGAGAGCCATCTTGGGGGGTTCAGCCAATAAAAGCAGTGAAGTGTGTGAGAACAGGCTGAAAAAAAGGAGACAAGATAAAGGCGGCAGGATGTGGAGAGCTGCTTTGAGATTGGATGATGAGTGCTAGAGTAATGGCCTCAGAAGCCTCCTGTGGGATTCACACAGTGAATGGGAAATAATGAATGATGATGCTCATTCTCCAGAGTAGCTGTCGCGATGATATACAGGCAACTTCATTTTTCCACATTACAGTACATTTCAGCAGACTCACTCTCAAATTCAAATACACCCACATTGCACATCCAGAGTGAACACCATTACAGCTCTCCCCACATTAGTGTCTAATGGAGAGCTTCATAAGTCATCTGATCTGTTGAGTCCTAAAGCTAAGACACTGATCAATAAAGAAAAAGACTGCAGTTATGACGAGTGGGATTTTTTGTTGTTGAAAGAGGCGCTCAGAAAAGAAAGAAAATCAGGGTTGATGGGGTAAGAATCAAGAGGCACCTAACGGCCCTAAAACTGCGAAGTTACCATTGATTTGTGATTAAAATCATATGTTAACCCGACCAAATGTTGGGAATTTACCCTTATGGGACTAATAAAGGAGTATCTTATCTCGTAAAAAAACAATAAAACAATGAGCTCTAAAACTCTAAAACAATGAATAACTGTCTGCAGGACAAAGTATGCAGAAATGCAGCATTAGCATGAGCCGTCTTGTAATTCGACTTCCTTGGCCTGTGCATGAAAATCAGATATGAACAAATGTCTCATAGTTTAGTGTTATTGTTGAAGTAAATTTGTGTATCTATGTGTGTTTAAATATCTAAATATTTATGCACCCTGTCTATGAGGAGAGACCAGCCACTGATGGAAATCAGGTGTTTGAATGGCTCAAGAATTTTTATTATTTCTTTGGTTGAGTAAAATCTAGGGGGCAGGTCCCTACTGTTTTTAACACAAGCTCCGTATAAGTGACAAAAAAAAGGACAAAACAACTTTGGATAACTTTCCATCGTTGCAGATTGTCTATTTTTTTCAGTTATGCAAGTAACTAAGATGGAAATTTGAAATAAAAACAGTTGTCACAACATTCTGCGAATTCTTCGGATTTCAAGACAAAACAAAAACATACTATTACTCACTCCCATCAAGTATTTTTAATTCAAGACTCTTTCAGGGAAATGCCAAACTACAAATTCATTCAGACCTGGTGATATTGCCTGCAGGAGTGGTAAGAACAGTGCTTTTATTTATTTATCATGTTGGTTAAACAGCTCCAGAATCTTATTTGTTAAAGCCATCTTGAGGAAATTGAAGTTTGCATCAATTTTGGCGCCCTCCTCTGGGCAAAGATGGACATCTTGTAATTTTGCTAATCCTGTCGGGTAAGATAAGTTTCTCATTATGAGCAATTGTTGTTGGAAATGTATAAAAAGGCTTTTTTTCTGCAGCTGTCTGACCACCACCCTCTTGTGTCCTTTTGTAGCTCAGAAAACATCTGTATGAATTTCAGGCTGTTTCATAACGAATTGAAAAATCATCACAGGAGCTTTAATGGAGATCGTTGTTAAAAGACACTGCCTTATGAGTGTGCTCTGCATTCATATTGTAATTTCTCCTCTTGCTTGGTTATAAATAACAGCATTTAACACATAAATAAAAAAAAAAGCATGTCTCGTTTAGTCAACTGAACTTTAAACATATCTGAGTGAGAATATTAGTGAATAGGTAGCCTGAAAATCTGTTATTTTAAAAGGTACAACAACCCATGATCAGAACCCAGATTAAAATATTGCTAATAAGAGTGAAAATAGTATAAATGCCTGGAGAGATCTCAGACTTACTGCCTGTTTCAGATAGCCTATCTAAGAAGCTGATTCAAGCAGCCTGAGGCTTTCAGAATAAAAAGTAGAACCCCTTATTACCTGGTCTGACTCCTTGGCCACAGAAGTCCTGATGAGCCTCCAGGTTTTTGCACTTGGTGTGAGTGTACCTGAGAAAGAGAGACACAAAGAAAGAAAGAGAGATAAATACTAGATATCATACTGTGTTTACCCTGAGTGCGGCTGTCTCTTTGCTGAAACCATGCTTTGACATATTGTCAAGATTAGAAGCACTGTCAACACGGTGACACTGGCTCCTCAAAATAGAGAGAGTGATCAGGGGGAACAAAACAGTAGGTGTGTGTCACCCTCAAATCATAGTTTGACTGAGACTGACCAGGATAGATACAGTTAGAAATGAATCTGACAACAACCATGGATATGAGCGGCACTGAAGGTAAGAACAAAAACTGATAAAGGCGCTTAAATGTCATGAAAAAGTAAAACCTAATACATGTAATGGCTGTAGAGACTTTACTAGATTAGTACAGGTCTGCTGTCAGACTAGAGTTTATAAGACTAAGGTAGCATGTGTTGAGTCCACTCTGCTGTTTCTATGACGCAGCCATGACAGGATTTACACAATCTAAAAAAAAAGAATGAAATAGAATAACTCATGTTCTTTGGCTTTTAGTGACATCTAAAAATATATATCCTGGTACATACCAGCCCAGCTGATAATCCACAACAAGATGTCTGTCTTTACATTTCAACTTCACTCTTCTCTTATTCTTCTCAAGCTGTTAGTCGGATTGTAAACAATGCAGTGCACTGAAAAAGAAGGCACTGGTCATTGCAGGGGATAGCTTAAAAGGAAACCCTAAAACTAGGCAGATGTTAGAGACGATAACTAGACCGTGGATCTAGTTTGGATATTTGAAGAGAAAGACTTTTTTAATGTTTGAAGTAATTTGTTTGCTCTAGCATACGCATATTTGTATGCATACAAACACAATGCTATTTGTCTGTGTTTATCTGTGAGCATGATGGAGTACGAAGGTGTAGTTCTTGTTTCAATGAAAGTATTACAGGTTTTATCAGAGTAAATAATTAATGAGGTCATTATATTCTCAGCATACAGCTTTGAGAGTCTATTATTTCAGTGTTGGCTTGTGGTTCCACAAAGCCTCACATCAGCAGAGAGACACTGTTGTTGTTTGTCTGGAATGATGAGAGACCTTAAAGCCCCTTATCTGAGAGATTAGCTTGCTCATATTGTATAGCAGTATGCAACATGGTTTCTCTTTGTTGTTTGACATCCTGATGACCAAAACCTGTAACACTAGAAACATCAGCAAGACACTGTCGACTGCACCAGGTTATCCACCTTCAGAATGGACAGTTGTCTGTTTCTCATAGGTCTTATTCTGACTGTAAACAAAATTAATATCTAGATTGAGTTGTAAAAAGTGTATTATTATAAACCAATCTTGACAAAGGAGTCATGACTATGTGAAAATATAAAAAATATGGTTACCAGCCCTGCCTGGATAAGTATCTTTCTCATTTTTATTCATGTTGCAGGTCGCATGACATGATAAGATGCATGATTCTTCAAGGAGATCCTGTAGGATATAAACAAATGCAGTAGTTTAATGTAATTTTCACATACATGAGTTCTTCACATATAGCTCTACAGGTGGTGTTATTGCACAGCACCAAACCCTCATACAGACAGATAAGTTTGTTTACAAAACAGAGCAACTGGTCAGAGCAAGTGAAGTTCTCATGAAGATGATACTCGGTCTTTGTATGCTGTGACAACACGTCCCTGCCACAGGTCTTCTTCACTGTATCGTCTTCTTTCTCGCAGACATGCCTCGACAGTTCCCAAAGGTAACTCTGAGTGAGGAAGAAAAAGAGACACAGCTGCGAGCCGAGAAGGTTTATGCATCAGCGTTGAAGGAAGAAGACAATAAGAATGCCTTGTCGATGTTCACCGTGCCGGAGGACTGCCCGATCGGCCTCCAGCAAGCCAAGGAGCATGAGCTGCTTAAGGAGCTGGCAGAGCAGAAGTCAGAGGAGAGCACCAAGAGGTAGGCCCTGTTTCAGGAACATCGTTTCAAGACGTGGAAGGAAAGTATGTGTGCTCATAATGATCAAATTACTATTTACAGGAGGAAAAGCTTGAAGATGATTCGATCCCAATCGATGTCCCTGCAGATTCCAGTCAATTCAGATTGGGCACGATCAGTGTCACCATTCATGTCCCCGAGCCCCACCTGCTCCTTAATGCCGGAGAACTGCCCTGACTACCAGAGAGTCACTATAAGTGGTGATTACTGTGCTGGTGTAAGTAACCTGAGCTGGAGCAGTCATTCTCAAATTTAAGACTATACTCTGGGAAATGCTCTCATTATAAACCAGTGATTTTCAAGTGTTTTCACAGCCTCATGGTGTGTCCCAAAGATACTACAGGTGGGCTGCTGGAAGTCTTCTGCAACACAAATATTTCGGTGTGCATTTTAGTTGGAAAACTGTCACATTCATATTGACCTTTTCTGTTTAGAAAATGAAAAATGTTTTTAAAATGCTTAAAAAGTGAGCCAAAGGAGTTATGTTAAAAGGATATTCCGGCGTAAGTTAATTTAGGGTCAAACACACCGTAACACAGAGTTAGACACCCCCTTGAGAGATGAGTGTTGCCGACCGCTTGCTTCTCTAGTTATACCAACTTTAGTAACAACCACACGATAGCAATGCACAGCGATCTGAGGAGCCATAAACAAACCTCAACCAAAACGCCTCTCTATAGCCACAAATAATGCTCAGAACAGCACCTAACTTCATCAACAGTACATATAGAGTCCCAGCCATAGTACTAGCCACCAAACATCTTTTTAACTTTGCCTAATTTCTTTAGCAAAGAGACTAAACACAACTCACCTACTCTCTTCCAGCAGCCGCTTGTTTGTAGCGAGACCTCAGGCCAGTCCATTACAGACTGCGGTGGGTTGACGCAGCTCAAGGAAGAACATTTATGATCATTTCTACATGGAAATGTAATCCGACCGAGATGCTAAGACAGAAGAACTACTGCGTCTGCTGCGCAAAATGATTAATATGATGATTATTGTTTAAGGAAATGATAAAGAAATGATACAGTATAAATACAGTCTATGAGTTTGACCCTAATTAATTTTACGCTGGAATATCCCTTTCATGAGATTTTTAAAAGACAGGTATAAAATAAAGACAAATAAAAATCATATTCGTATACTTTAAATGACAGCCCACCTGTAGTATGCTCAGGACCCAGTATGGGACTGCAAATTTCATTTTATATTTAAAGATGGGCAATTACATGTTGTTTCCATTCAGATCACTGTGGAGGACTACGCACAAGCAGCCAAAAGTCTGTTTAAGGCTCTTCTTATCCGTGAAAAATACTCAAAGCTAGCATATCACAGATTCTTCAGAACTACGGCCCAGTTCCTCCGCAGTGCTGAGAACTCAAGATGGAGTGAAGATGATGAGGTTATTCCAGGTTTGCATTACACGGTTTTAAAAGCTACACTCTCTGAGATCTGATCCAGGTCCACATGACAGTAACAGAGCAATGTTGTGGCCTCCAGATATGTGTCCACATCCAAAAGAAGGAGAGGATCCGTACAGTATGGAGAGCATCCCTGAGAACTTGAACTACAAGCTGAAGATGAAAGATGGGATAGTGAACGTGTATGATAGCGCTGAGGCACTGAAAGAAAACAAATCCCACGACCTTCCGTACCCAGACTTGGAGACCTTTGCTATCGACCTCAGTCATGTGCTGGCAATGATTGCAGATGGACCTACGTGAGTTTCCTAGAACCAAAAAGCCACCACTTTCATTCTGCTTGAACAAACAATCCTGATTGTAAGACTAGTTGCTGTCCTTAAATCCTCATATTCACATAGCAACCATCTTCCTCTGACATCACCCACAGAGTGTAGCTCTGCTGGTACAGTGTTTTAGGGCTTTCTTTATGGTTTGAACGTCAAATTACTTTCGGTTAGGGATGTCTGGATACAATATTAATACTGGATATCGGTCCAATATCAGTGAAAAATCGAATATCGGATTATATCGGCCTCCATCTAAAATCTCCGATATTAGCACTCCGATACAAGCAGTCCATTCCAGACTCCACATCTACGAAAGTTATTTTAGCGCTTGCGCTATACTCGGACAAGGCAAGCGCTGAAATAACTTTTGTAGATGAAACCATCTTGTTTCCGCCTCCGATTTTGTTTTTTTCCGACTTGGTAACTAAAACGCTGGGAGCTCGGGTGTGACGTCATTTTCAGCTCGGACTTCTGACTTCCGAGGTAACTCGAAGCAGCAGAAGGTACGAACAACGTACTAAGGAGTAGGAGTGACGTTTGCCCTGTGGCAGTATTTTTCATTAAAGTCCGAAAAAGACGTTGCAGCTGAGTGCAAAACTTCTTATGCACAAGTTTGTGCCAATATCAGATCAGTATATCTGATCGGTATCGGCCAGTACTGAAGGCTACAATATCGGTACTGTATCGGAGGTAAAAACAAGTTGTATTGCGGCACCCCTACTTTCAGTTACCCAAATATTAGCATTAACTTTAGCATTCCATGACAAAATGACTCAGTTATATCCAAGGACTACAAACAGAAAGCAGAGAACACCAGCATTTAGTCATTCCTTGGCTAATTTATCTGCTATCTTGGTGTTAACCAAATGTCTCTGCTAGGTTTCCCTCTTATCATCCTGCACCATGCAAGAGCAAAAAATTCTACTTGCTGTTGGTAATTTTAGGGTGAGGAAGTTAAACAGTAACTTATGTTTTATGCTAGCTAATGGATAAACAGCTATTAGCTAGCTGAGATGTCTGTTAATTCCTGTCTTGTTAAATCTTATGGTCATTTACGCTTAGAATAACTGAATTTCACTTTTTTCCCACAGAAAGACCTACTGTCACAGACGACTTAACTTCTTGAGTTCGAAGTTCTACCTCCATGAGATGCTCAATGAGATGGCTGAGCTAAAAGAACTGAAATGTGTTCCCCACAGAGACTTCTACAATGTTAGAAAGGTTAGTTTTCATTCTCACTTGTTGTGAGCTCTATTTTAACCATAGACTGTATATACTATGGACAAATTGGTTCCGCTTTCCGCCAGTATGTGGACATGAAGCCGAAAAGCTCTCGGTAATTGTGCATTTTTTCTCCACTTCCTGAAACCAACATTGCGCAGTAGCATTGTACGCATTTGGCGGGAGAGTCACCAAGAGTCACTGTGATGACCCTCGGCTCAAACAGTGTGTCCCCTGGGTGAGCTACGCAATCTTTGTACACCCATTGGCTGTATCAAGTGTCAATCACAGAAAATATGAACCCCCTAATAACTTTTAAAAATGGAGCTGTGCAGAAAAAAGAGGATTTGAACACAAACCAGTCTTAAAATAACTACATGTCAACATTGCAACCAGGGGGGAGAAACATTTATGTTCTGTGTAATTAATTTCTAAAGTTTGTCCACAACTCCATTAAGAGTGCTGGAGGAGGCGGGATTTATGACCTATACTGCAGCCTGTCACCAGAGGGTGCTGTTCTCGAGGTGGCTGAACCCAGCGAGGAGGCAGTAGACGTCCATTCTATATACAGTCTATGATTTTAACCAAAAATATCTCTCTAACTACATTACCTACTTTACTGTGCAGATAACATTTTAACCAAGTGTGTTTCTGTAAATGTTTAGTTCATCCAGTATACTCAACCTTAACATGGTATGTGTCACTCAGGTGGACACGCACATCCACGCAGCTGCCTGCATGTCTCAAAAACACCTGCTGACCTTCATTCAGACGACATATGAGACTGATGCTAACCGTGTGGTGTTGGAGAAGATGGGGCAGAAGATGACTCTGCAGCAGGTTTTTCACAGTCTCAATAAGGACCCCTATGACCTCACTGTGGACTCTCTGGACGTACACGCTGTAAGAACAGCAGAGATCATGAATATTAATTGTTTATCATGAAAGCACGAACACTTGTGTCTCTCTAGACTTAACACTCTGTCCTATTATCATTATTTCTTACAGGGGAGACAAACTTTTCACAGATTTGACAAATTCAATTCAAAGTATAACCCGGTGGGAGCCAGCGAACTCAGAGAGATCTTCCTCAAGACAGACAACCTAATTAATGGAGAGTATTTTGCCCGCATCATAAAGGTATCATTTCATAAAACCACATATTTTAAGTCAGAGGAGACTGGAATGCGGCGAAGTACTCTTTTGTACTTTTGATCTTTAACAGGAAGTGGCTCATGACCTGGAGGAAAGTAAGTACCAGCATGCAGAGCCTCGACTCTCCATCTATGGACGCTCCCCTGAAGAGTGGGACAGCCTGTCAAAGTGGTTCATTCAACACAAAGTTTACTCTCCCAACATGAGGTGGATCATTCAGGTCCCAAGGATATAGTGAGTCCAACACTCTCGACGAAGAACCACCACATTTCTATTTCTTATCGTAGAAGCTCTGAAAGACAAAAGACAATATTCTTATGTGTTTCAGTGACATTTTCAAGTCCAAGAAGCTGGTAGACAATTTCGCCAAAATGCTGGAGAACATATTCATGCCTCTGTTTGAGGCCACTGTGAACCCCCAGAATCACAAAGAACTTCATGTCTTCCTCAAATATGTAAGATTTCGTTTTCATTAAACTGTAACCCAATTTAACAAAATTCACCAACACACAAATATAATAAGAAATCCTTATTGATTGTGCATAAATCTGCAGTTCTTTAGAGCTAAATAACCTTTTGAAAAATATATTGCATAGTGACTGTTGTTTAAATACAACTTAATCAATAACATAAATTAGGGCACGACTTATTAAATCCTGGTTTCATTTCAGGAGTAAATAAAAGAAAGTGGTAACAGTTGTGAGACATAATTACAACAACAATTTATCACTCGTACTGACTTAATTAACTTATTTATGCTGTTAATGTCGTGTTTTTGTGTGCAGGTATCAGGCTTTGACAGTGTGGATGACGAGTCCAAACACAGCGATCACATGTTCTCCTTCAGAAGCCCAAAGCCGGAGCAGTGGACTGCAGACGACAACCCTCCTTACAGCTACTATGTCTTCCACATGTATGCAAACATCATGGTCCTCAACAACCTCAGGAAGTAAGATCTAAAGCTGTCCTTCTATTTTAAAACAGGAGCACTGTCATTGAACAATGTAAAAACTTACTAAATAATTGATGTGATTTATTGACTTGTTTGTTTGTGTCCCCGATAGAGAACGCGGTCTGAGCACCTTCCAGTTCCGCCCCCACTGTGGAGAAGCTGGATCCATCACACACCTGGTCTCTGCCTTCCTGACGTCTGATAATATCTCACATGGACTCAACTTAAAAAAGGTACCGAGAACTATTGAAAAGATTGTATTTTAACCTTTTATTTGGATATTATTACGTTATTCTATTTAAGGCATGTGTATATTGTTCTTCATTCACTTGTCTTATTCTTATTGATTTTATTGTATTTTACTGGACTGTTATGACAATTTAATTTCCCTTTTGGGATGAATAAAGTCATCCATCCATCCATCCACCGATCTATCTATCTATCTATCTATCTATCTATCTATCTATCTATCTATCTATCTATCTATCTATCTATCTATCTATCTATCTATCTATCTATCTATCTATCTATCTATCTATCTATCTATCTATCTATCTATCTAAAGGGTTGCCATAAGCAGACCTGGAACCACAAAAGCAGCCTGTGGTTTTCCCCATAATTCTTCACTTTAACCAAAAAGTACATAGACAAAAATAAAATGAACTTTCTTGAAGTAAGCAAAAGGAGCAGTCAGGATAAGTGCTGTAGCTTAGAGAGGACAGTAGAAGTGTTGAATCCCTGGGGGTCAGACTGTATTTAGGTTTTTGTTCAATAAAAACAGCAGGACTATTTTGTACCTTTGAATTCAAAAGCACCAGAATGTAAATCTATAAAGTGTCAGCGGAGGTCTCGGGAGGTCTAATGCTAGAAAATTAACATCTGAGAATAAACAATTCTCTTCTTGTGCGACAAAGAGGAGCTGCAAAATTAACACAGCTCACTATAAAGATTACAGAGGATACAACTTCCACTTATTTTTACACGGCACACGACATACAGATACCTCAAAACTAAGAACTGTTTACTGAATGTGTCTGGCTGCAAGATTAGTGTTCATTTTCTTATCCCTCAAATTTCCCTCAGAGTCCTGTACTGCAGTACCTCTACTACCTGGCCCAGGTACCAATTGCAATGTCTCCACTCAGCAACAACAGTCTGTTTCTGGAGTACTCCAAAAATCCACTCAGAGAGTTTCTGCACAAAGGCTTGTGTGTGTCCTTGTCCACAGATGATCCCATGCAGTTCCACTACACCAAGGTAAACATGTACGACTGGAGAAATAGTGTTTACTATACTTCTAAAAGTATAAATATATGTCTGACTCTGTTTGTGTCCTTATTCTAGGAACCATTGATGGAAGAGTATGCTATAGCGGCTCAGCTGTGGAAGCTCAGCACCTGTGACGTGTGTGAAATAGCCAGGAACAGTGTGTTGCAGAGTGGCCTATCTCACCAGGTATAGAAACACATTCACTCCCTTCACTCTGTCATTTTAGACTCAGCAAAATCTCCCTCTACACTGAATCTCATCTGTCTGCCTGCTTTGCCGTTTGTTTGTAGGATAAGAAGCACTTCTTGGGAGTGAACTATCTGAAAGATGGACCTGACGGAAACGACATCCGCCGCAGCAATGTAGCTCAGATCCGCATGGCTTATAGACACGAGACGCTGTGTAACGAACTCAGCTTCATAGTGGACGCTGTCAAGTCTGAAGCCATAGACATACTATGTGAATAAATCTAAATATCAGGCATGCTGAGCTCCACCATTTAAGCTTTATTTCAAAGGTGTCAGGACTGAAGTGACTGTGATGGTTTCAATGAAAAGCACATAACTCTGCTAGTTCAATAAATGCCTGCTATGCAATACCTGCTTGTCTCAAAGTTGACAAAAACTGTTTAGGAGAGGACATTAAGAAGTAGACTCACATGTATAACATCACCTTTTATGTGTCGGCAGTTGTACCATATAAAATTATGCTGTAAAAACTCAAGTTATAAACTGAAGTTTTTACAGACACTGTCCACATAGTTGAGAGAGAGCTGTGCAACATTAAATCAGACACCCCTCATGAATCAAAAAGGTGTTTTAAAGATGTTGCAGTGAGTTTTGAAATTATACATCAATCCCAAGAGACCTGTTGTTGAAAATGACATGTGCCCTCTTAAATAGTTCATAGACTTATTGAAGAAACATTGTATTTATGTGTAAAATACAGAAGGTACATAGGAAGAAGGTCTTCACAGATTGTATTGCAAGCACTACCATCTAGTGGCCAAACTGCACCTATTAAAAACGTGAATGAAAATACTCACAGACACATTTTGCAAACAAAAACAAATGTACTGTACAATCATCTTGTTACATTTCTTCACAAAAAAACCTACAAAACTACAAAAAACAACCAAAACATCTTCATTCTCAAAATGAATATAAAACACACTGTCCATCCATGGATGAAAAATCTACTTAAAAAAGAGTTTTTAGCTTGAATCGTCACTTTCTTCTATACTCTCCTCTTCCTCAGAAGCAGCCTGTGGTTCCTGTACAACCTTCACACACGTCCACTCTTCTGTCTCAATGTACTCCTCCTGCTGCTTCTGCTTTATGTCAGCATGATTACTTCGCCCCAGAATAGAGAAAAAGAAACAAATCACAGCACCAGTAAGTCAGTATGAGGACATAAGAACCACGATTAAGTTTGCTGAAAGTGTTATATGATGATGACGCAAGAGTATTTAGTGAAATGAGATCCTCTAATCTTTGAATTAAAACAGCCTACATGTGCAGCACTTCACATCTTTCTTCACATATTTGTTATCTAATGTCCCATAAACATTAAAAGCCCTTGTATTCAACTGTGGAAATCGACTTACCTTGTAAAGTATGCAAAGAGGATCACTGCAAGAAGGAGGAGGGCACAAGTTGTGGTGATGAGAATTGCCTTTCCTGGAAAAATAAAAGATGAAAAGGGAAAAAAATGTTAGAAACAAAACTCACATCTAAAAACTTCTGATGAAAGACCTGACGAGTATTTCTAGCTCTAATTTTTATGCTCTTTGAAAGAATCTCATACCTCCTGATGAGCTCTGTTTCTTGCCAACATACCGGACCGGTTCAACCTCATTTCCTAAAGTTTCAGGAGTCAAGGAAGGAAAGACGGAGGAAGTAGACTGAGGGGTATTCGTGGAGCTTACTGTCTTGGAAGTCGACTGAGGGCTAGGAGTTGTTATATCCTTCAGTTGTATAGCTGCATCTGTACATGTACATAAAGGAAACAACAGATAAGATGAGAAGTGAGAACAAAATAATTGTTTTAAAGATTGTGAAATATTTGCCACTAGTTCTGCACTGGTAGTAGCAGCTCTCATAGCGTATAAACATTGAGTTATGACCAATAATTTCAAAACAAACCAAGACTTCAGATTTGTAAAAGGATGCATGCTTTGTCATGTATGTAGAAAAGTACAAGATAATACCATCTGGAAATCCTCCTACCTGTTTCATTGAAACAAAACACATCAAACTTTTTTGTGACAGAGGCCCTCCATGCCACTAAGCCTGTCTGGTTTTTTCCACAGATAGCAAGAGCTTTGCTGCGAGGAATGACTGCAAAATGCTCATCAATCCATCCATACCTAAAAACAAGAACAAAGAAAGACACAAAATCAGGCCCTGTCCATCAAACTGTCCCAGGATGAGTGTCTTGAATGTGCAGTCCTTCTCAGGTCACCTGCATGTTTCCAAACCTCTGGAGAGAGCTGTCTGCACGTCTGTTTTTGAGGCGATGTTCACACCAAGAGACAAGCAAAGTTGTCGAGCATCAGAGGCGTTATAGGCATACTCAGCATGGTTTTTATGGTTGTAGTAAGTGACCTGAAATACTCCTGCAATACTTTGGTTTGCTCCTGGGAAAGCTGGAAACAGCATATACAACAGTTTTAAATGTAGATCCCCCCATGTAATGATAATTAAAGAAAACAGGTACAAAACAGCTGGAATCTCCTACCTCTGATGTGGCCTTTGTCAATCTTTCTACCAGAGATGACTTGAGTAATTGACAGCAACAATGTGAGGCTGAGCCAAATCATATTCACGCCGGTCAGAATAAAGACAGATGACTGCTGTGGATGGCGAGTGCTGCTCAGCTTTATGTGTCTGTGAGCCAAATGCCAGGGTTAAATAGAGGTGATTCTGTTAGCTGGGGTGTGTGCACTCTGTCACTGCCAGAGAGAGGAGGAAAAGGAAGAGGGAAGTACTGCTAATGGGTCAGATCAGGAGCAATCATATGTTCTCGAAGCAGGTCCCGGGAGAGAGGAGGAGATAAAACTCGTTTGACAGCAACAGAGGACACGGCTATGAGGGTCTGCAGAGGGCAGAGTGAGGACTGACAACATAGAAAAGGATCGATGTAGTGTAGTCTTATACTATTGTAACAGTGTGTGCGGCTGGACATACTGTTATTTTTTAATTTAACTTAGATGCAGGAAATAGATGCATGCAACCTGTCCTTCTAATTAACACTTTTGTTAAATATAAATGAAGATTAGGCATTTTTGGAGCAAAAAGACAATCCAGACATGTCAAATAATACACCCATAATTCAAAGTTGGCCTCCTCAGTGTCCGCACTGACATCTGACTCATCTGACTCCAGGCTCTCCGTCCAAATGACTTCCTCCCAGGGGGCATTATTCAATCACAAACGTGCTTATGATCTCTGGTATCCTCCTAAGAGCCTTTGGCACACGACCACATCTCACTTCCACAAAAACATTTCTGCACAAACCCCGCTGGCAGGAAATGACGCAGAAAGTGCTGACGAACACGCAGATGTGAGGTGTGAACGGGTTTTGTTGACACAGGAATGAATGAAAAATCAGGAGCTATGGAAAAGAACAGGTTAAAGGGGTTAAAGTTCATTGGGTCATAAAGCCATTGAATTGAACTTGGATCAAATAAAACTGATTGCTTTCATAAGTTGAATTAGAAAGTCATATGAAACAAAATTATGTAACCACTGTGTCTCGGAAAGTAGTAATGAAGAGTTCAGATTTGACAAAAAATTGACAAAAACTTATTACGCCTTATAAAAATCATGAAGCTGAAACACAAGTTTGACTACTTTAAAGTGTGTGTCTTGTCCTGTGAGAAGTCAAAATGTTCTTTGGCAACAGAAATATGGAAACATTGTCAGATTGATACATCTAGTTTAAAATCTCTGTGTGCTTTGAGAATAGAGTCAGTCCTTAGTAAAGATATTAAACTATGTCTTTCAAAAGTGAAAGTGGTGCTGTAGTGGCGGGCCAGCTCACAACAATCACCAATCCTGCAGCTCCTCTCTGTTTGATGAATTATCAAATCAAGTTTCAGCTCATGGTTTACCCGACCACAGACTGTGAAGCCCCCAAATATTTAGAGTTCTCCCTACTGACTGATAGCAACTCAGCAGTGCCGATTTAATAACCAAATTCCATGGTTTAAGTACCAAAAGGGATGTGATACTTAGAGGATTAGGGCCACAAGAGGAGAAAAAAAATAATTACAGGAGGGAGATTTTTTAAATTTCCATTTCAAGATTCAAGTCAAAATTTTGAGATTAAAGCTGAAATTTTAAAAAGTTGAATTTTCGACTTTATTCATGTCGACTTCAATCTTGAATTTTCGACTTTGTCATAATTCAATTCTTTTGATCTCAAAATTTCAACATTATTCACAACATTTTGTAATCTCAAAATTTTGACTTTAATCCTTCCTGTAATTATGTTTTTTTCTCTTCACATGGCCCTAATCCTTTTAAGTAGATACCAGCCTCATGGCCTGATCCTTTGTCTCGAGACCTTGGCTCCACCACCAGCACATTATTTCAGAATTCATCAAGTTGATATTTGGGCTTCACATCTTCCCACTGAGCAATAGACGGCTATTAGATGTCTCTTTTCTTTTAAGACCTAATGTCAAAGGTCTAGATTCTGTATATTTTTAGACAGAGTTTAGACGTTGCACTTTAACCCATTATTTGATAACTATTTATTTCAAAAAGCAACTGTGAGTCGCATAACTGACCTTCAAGTACTTAACCAAAATAATTATGATAGCCGTTGAGCAATATACAGTGTAGTATAGATATAGCCCAGATTTAGGCTTGGTCTAAACTTGGTCTAAATTTAGACGTCAAAAAAACTTTCACTTTAGACGTCTGTGGTAGCCTGATTTTAGACCAGTCGTCTCGGCTATATTAAGACGTCTATTAGACCTTCTTTCAGACCAAAAAACGCTCAGTGGCTCACAATGAGATGGAAGGGCAGTATCCATGGCAATATACAATCAATTGGAACAACCTCACCTGGTTTGAGTCACACAACTGTTTTTTGTTTTAGCATTTTTTTTCATTCGGTTGCTGTTTTCAGCTAACCGTTGACTACCCAACTAGCCAAAAGTAGAACAATAAAAACATGTGATAAAGAGAGAAATATAGGACTTATATTTGTGTTGCAGCCACAGGCATGATACCAAAATCATCAAAATGTTGTCCTGAGAAGACTGGATGTGAACATACAGATCTTTTACTTTAACAGGACTTAGGTGATGATTTGTTGATGCTATGTGCTCACAGACACAACAGCTGCCCTGGATTAAGTCCTTAATAGAATAAAAACATGGTCTGCTTTGGGAGTACTTTCGATGAAAATGACAACTATTTGTTTTCAGGCACCTTTAATCAAAGGTGGAGTGTCAGGCATAAAATCTACAGAGAACAAACAACACAGAAAGGCACACATGTGCTACGATTAAAATAGGTCGTCTAAAAAGTGCTCTTATACATCAAGACAATCTCTCAGTGCTCTTAAGACAAACCAGGAAACCACTACCTGCAAATATTATTGCACTTCAGGAACAACTTTGGAATGTGCTTATATTTTAAAGTAGTTAAATACACATTTTCAAACCTAAACTTCTTTTCAGTATCTTTAAATATGACTTCGAAAATCTCTCGTGGGTTTTAATAGCTATTTGACCTGAGAGATTATATATTAACCCTAAAGTGTAGATAAATATTCACTTCTTTTATTGCGTTACTAAATGAAAAGTGTTGGTCCCTAGACAAAAACCTTCTTTTTTTTTATGCCCAACTTTCAATTTTACAATTCAAACAAAATCATAACTTAAAGCTGTGACTCATGACAAAGGCAACATTCTCATAAAACCTCCAAAAAGTGTCTTTGACCCTCAAGAGATGAGGGCACAGATTCAAGTGTGGAGACATGGTAAACTGGAGAAAAAACACAGAGATCCTTCACAGTCCCTCTTATTGTCTTCTGGGGTTCTTTGGTTGCAAACTTCATTCAAATGTCTTCGTGTCCTCTTGTACAAACTCCTCCTCTACCTATGTGTCCTCTCGTCTGTTGTATTTGTCGCTGAAGAAGGTGAAAATACTGATAACCAGACACATCACCACAAACAGCGTCAGCGCAATCAAGACCAGTCGCCGACTCACGGGAATCTTGGGACAAACCCGACCAACGTGGACGAGGAACTCCTCCATCCTCCTGTGGAGAAAATCACCTCACACAGTAAGGATCGGATATTTTCACAGCTGTTTACAGATACATGTTTACATTTATAGACATTTAACAATTCATTTAACCCTGGTCTGCGTAAACACAATCAGAGCGTCACACATGCAAATACTCAAACATGCACACACGTATAATAATAAAATAATTGAGGAATATCTTCTCTTTTCTTATAGCTGATAGTGACACTGATGCCTCTGATGTGAATTGCTGATGCCTGAAACTAACGAAGAGGGGGCTAGTTGATTTATTTGACAGCAGCAACTTTTGAATGGCAAATCCAGAAAGTGATATATTTCACTGTTAAAAAGACGAGTGGGTGAAGTTTATGTCCAAAAAGACTGTATTCACATTTGCAGGATGAGAGGTAATGAGTATCATTTTGTCCACAGGAGGGCACTATAATTAATACAGGACAAAACTAAACACACAAAACACAAAAGTATTAGATCTAAAAAAGAAAGCCATCAAAACATTTCATAATTAATGAACAGGGATCAAATAATGCATCTCAAATTATCAGATGTTGTTTTCTCCCACTCAAATATGTGATTATGAACATTTTCCAACCACCTACAAGAGTGTACATTTTTCATCAAGTTTGGCTAGCTCTTATAAAAACAATTTCTAAACTTAAAAATCTTCTCTCAAGTGTTTAGGACCATAAATCCAGTCTCTTTAATGCTTAAACTGAAACTTTGATACGTGCCACATACTGCTTGTTGAGGTTGATTTGTGTGATGTGGATCAGACTCTGGGTCATTTAGTCTACTTATATAGTCTAGATAAACTCAGAAACATGCTTCCCCATTTCTTTCTTTTGTGAAACAGTAGATTTAGTTCACCTGCTTGTCTTTATTTTCTTTCCACTCTCTTCATCCTTATTTTTCATATCCAGTAATTTCTCTGCAGCGATTTCTTCCTCATGTTTCTCCTCCTGGAGTACTTTACTTTGCTTCAGCCCCTCTTGGTAGCTGCAAATAAGAAGGTTTAAATTTACCAGCATGGTCTGAGGATAGTGAGAAATCATCAACATTTTATTATTAGTCTTAAGTCACTTGGCAATACATTGAAAACTAACACATGAAACAAACTTAAACTGCTGCCATCACTGAGTTTGTGTTTGGATTCACAGCAGGAATAGAAGAGAGAAGGCTTCACCCTTTATTGTACGCCTCCTCCTCGATCTTTGCCTTCAGCTCGGCTCTGATCTCTGCTCTGATCTCCTCGAGGTTGACTGTAGGTTTGGCTGGCTCACTTTCCTGCTCCGACACACTCTTTCCACTGCATTGTTTCAGATTGGAAAGAACAGTCAGCCTTGGACACCATCACAATCACAGCAGAGGTAATAAAACTGATTCCATGTTGATTCCATCACAACACCCCGGCTTTGTCTGCTCATGGAAAAATTGCCAGTCTAAGGACGCTGTCCCAGGCTCGGTACCATCACAAAAAAACAGGGCTGTCACTTTTATTATTTATTTTTTTCATTCTGGTTACAAAAAAATAAGCCTCAGACGTCTAAGAGCTCCACCCTGTCCACTTTATGTCGAGGATTTGATTGGAGTCTGGTGCCTGGACTTTGTCAAATACTTTCACAAATATTTAGAGTAAGACCCAGAGTAGCATATCTATCAGCTGCAGCAGGGTTTGATTATTTTTCATGCACTCAGGGTTAGTTTTAACCTCGTAGGGGCTTTCTCTGCTCTGCACAACACATCCTGAAGGTCACACAAACAAGCCAAAGGTCCCTCTGCAGCACAAAACATTTTTGATAAGAGCGATTGCAGCTTTAGGCCCATTGTTTCAAGGACTGTGGGATGACCTTGGAAATCATGGTATGTGTACATACTGTACATGGACTTTGTGTGTATGAGTGTGTGTGTGTGTGTTTGAGCAAAACACACCATGTGCATGAAGCCTACCTTTCTGTGGCTTGTTGTGCTGTCTCTGTTGGAGTGTTAGCTTTCACATCATTCCCTTCACTCTGCAGAGAAAAATAATTAGAATAACTTTATTTTTATAGCACTTTTAAAAACAGAGGTTAAAAAAATGGTCATAAAGCACAGAAAATTGGCACACGGAATAAAAACAAATAAAAACAAAAAGCTCAGTTAAAACAAAGTCTCAGAATTAAAGGCCATTTTCATTTGGCATAAGAAACCCAGACAAAACAAGAACCCTGCAACATAAAACAAGACCATGAGGACCAAAATAAAAACATAAATTATGTAAGTATAACAAAAGCTAAAAAGACAGTAAAGCTGACATAAGACAGAGAAAAAGAGATACAAGATAAATGACAACATCGCCTAAAAGCAAGTCTGTAAAAGTGAGTTTTTAAGATTGACTTAAAAGAAGCGACTGTCTCTGCAGGTCGTTTCAAAGTCGAGGAGCTCTGATGGAAAAAGCTCTATCACCTTTAATTTTGAGCCTTGACTTTGGAACGACCAGGAGGCCTTCGCCAGAGGATCTGAGGCTGCGAGTTGGCTCATATGGTACCAAAGCTCTGAAATGTAGCTTGGAGCAAGTCCCTCGAGTGCTAATCAATAAAATCTTAAAATCAGTTCTAAAACTGACAGTATGTCAGTGAAGGGAGGCTAAAATTGGAGAGATGTGATGCAGTCTTCTAAAAATGTTGACTATTATCAAATTTATAATTACTTTTTACTCCAATAAAAGTACCAAAGCAGCAATACTTAATGCAAGTCCTGTCTTAGAGGTGAAAGTACAAGTGTGTAATGGGTTAGAAGGACAAAAGAAGCAACTTTAAAGACAACATACTACAGGATGTGACTTTTTATGTCTTTCACTCCAACACTGTGTAAAAAAACTGACTGTGTGAGAGCTAACCTAAATGAATCAAAGACTTTTGGAGCTCTCTGTAATGACTGGCTGCAGAGGGTTGAAAGCCCACCTCTCCTTTTACAATAGACTCATCAAACTAGGGTCAAATTAGTCAATGAAAATCCATGTCAAAGAAGTTTTTGCTAAAAAGGAGTTAGTTGGTTAGTTAGTCTGACAGTTATGTTGACAAATGTGACTCCTGCTGTGATTTTTTGCTAAAATTCACACACTAGAAAAAAAATGTTGAGGAAAAAGTAATGAACAATGACAAAAAAAACGTAATAACCTTGTGTGTCTGCTATAAACCTCGTGTGGACTGTTCTGGGGTACCTTAAATGTTTATTGTGTGTTTTGTCTCACAGTCTTTTGTCAGCACCTATTTGGCTCCACAGGAAATGAAGCCCTCCACATGTACAGTCAATCTCATGACACAAACATTACAGTTTGGACATTTTTTAAATGCAGTAACTTTTGTGGTCGCACCTTAAAAAACACCAGTTCTTAATTTTGTGCGAATAAAAGTGTTAAAATAGATACAGAGCTTGTTTGTGTGAACTCAGTTTCTCCACTGCTTACAGCTGACACGTTCAACTTTTAACACGTATTGAATATTTTAATATTATGATAGAACAGAGGTGTGAGATGGAGGGTCATAAAAACAAGAAAAGAGTTATCTGATGTCCTCAAAGTGAACCCTTCTGTACTTTTAGTGTCCTGGAGTGAATGGTGATGCATCAAATCCTTCATATGTTCTTCTCCATAATTTCCTGACAGGACAGGAAGACCTACCAGGACAGGAAGAGCACCACCAGCTGTGGGTCCCGTGTTTGGTCCTGTGCTGGGACCCGGACCTGCTGTAGCCGGGGTCTGACCGGGGATGTTCAGGAGGTTAAACTTCGGCACCACTGCGACGCTTACCCTACGCCTGGGTAGAGCCTATAGAGGACATAGGGTGTGCAAGAGTGTGAAAAACAAGAGAGGAAAATTGGGTTAGCACAGCATTTACTTTGTAAGCGATTTTTCACTAGTTTTAATTAATAGGCCAGATAAATGAAAACATCCTTCTTCAAAACAGTGCCTACCTTTCCAAGAGTGAGTGACATTGACCTTGAAGGCCGTGGAACGCCATCATCTATAAATGACAGGCAGAGAAATGTAATCAGGTTGGCTGAGTTTCACTCGATTTCCTCCATGTGTTGTTGTCAGTGTGTCGGTTCTCACCTCCTGTGTCCACAGAGCCTCCATGACAGCGATTCGAGTTCTGGTTGGCCAGTTTCTTAAACTCCATCAGCTCTGCATGGTCCTTCTCATACGTCCTCTTCAGGTTCTCCACATACTGCATCATGACCTCAGTGGCCTTGTTCATACGTTTCTCCTGTTGCAGAATGAAGATCAGTCAATTTAAAATTTGTGCACTGGAACAGTAACTTCTACTGCTCGAAAACTGACTTTTAAGAAACTTTATAGCTCGGCTCATCATTGTAGGAGCACTGAAACAAGTTTTGGAACATAGATACCAGACCAATGCAACATTTTACTGAGGAAATTGTTTCACGTACATTTAATTTACCAACCAAACAATTTTGAAGGGATTGTTTGCAGAGTTTAAGCTTTATCTTTGTCTATCCGGGTGGAAATATAGTATAAAAAACTGAGATTTGGAATTAAGATATGCTGCATCATTTATCAAAGTCTATGTGTATAAACAACTGCAGTGGGAGTGAGATCGGGAACACTTTATTTGACAGCTATTTCAATAACGCATTATAAATACATGTATATTGTGTTATAATCATATTTTAGCACTGTAAAACTGTAGTTATAAACACTCATAAATGTTCATAATACTTTAATGTAATAAGCATAACACATTATAAAGCATTTTATCATGACTTACAAGCTCAGGTATGATAATGTTGGTAACCCTTTCTTTTACGGTACACTTATTAACAGGTAATTAACAGGTAATTACCTAGAAACAACATGAAATTATCTGGTAATTACATGATAACTACTAAGTCGATACTGTCTAGTTTTTTCTTTTTTTCTTTTTTCTGTGCAGCTCTATTTTCAAAAGCTATTTGGGGTTCTTATTTTCTATGATTGCCACTTGATGCAGCCTATGGGCGTGCGAAGATTGCGTAGCGATACGCCGTTTGAGCCGAGCATTATCACAGCGACTCACCCGCCGAATGCGTACAATGCTACTGTGCAAGAGGTGGTTCCAGGAAGCAAAGAAAATCCTGGAAATACCAGAGCAACTCGGCTTCAAATTTGTATGATGATGGAAGGTTACCTACCTGGTAGCTAGACAGTATTGACTTAGTAGTTATCGTGTAATTACCAGATAATTTCATGTTGTTACTAGGTAATTACCTGTTAATTATCTGTTAATAAGTGTACCGTAAAAGACAGGGTTACCATAATGTTTTATAACCGTTAACAACAGTTGCATTGCATTATCTATGTGGGCATTGTCAGTGAGTTGTTAACAGTTATAACACATTATATTGTGTTAAATTCCACTGATTTTATTAAGACCCTTGTTCTTGTGGCGGCAAAAACTTTATTCACTCCCAACTTTATACTTTCATTTTACATTCCTGAGCTGGAAATGCAGCATTAACATCAAAGCAGTTGCATGCCATCTTAATACAACTGGGAACCGGACCAAAAATGTCCTTTTAGAGATGTTCATCAATTCTTGGGAGCCTCATAATTGAGCTTTTATCAAAATAAATGGCAACAGTACAAAGAAAACCCAGGAATTTATCTACACGGCTTGGGAATACTGACGGACAGTTGGGCAGCGAAAAAATGTAAATGTGCCCGATAACTGATGTTTGCCTTGGCTAGCAGGAGTTTGCTGTGACATCAGATAAGCAATCATTATTTTTAGATAGCTGTCAAACTCTCAAGAGGCCCCATGATGACAGTATCCCAGAGAAAACAGCACCTCTTTAAAGATCTGTCACATAGTGCAGCGCTCTTTTTCCATCATTGTCAGTTTTTAATGTTTTCAGATTGTTTAACTTCACCTGTCGAACTGCTCCCACTATCTCCGCCCTGCTGGAGAGCCGTGTTGCCAGTCGGTGCAGCACTGACAGAGTCTCGATGAGACGCTGGTAGGACTCACGCTGCTCCAGATTCTGCCACTGTGGCGCAGTCATCTGCAGATATCAACAAACAACATCGTCGTACAACTCTCTCCTGAAAACAAACTGTGCATCATTGGTCCTATTAAACCTGGACTTGGAGTCGGATGAGATAAATATTTACTGTGTGACGCTTCCAGGAAACACTGAGCAGATGAACGAGCACTAAAGAGCCAGAGGGAGCTATTTTTTTTCAAGTGAATGTATCCCATAACAGCTGATGTTTTCCAGGACTGACCTTCAGCGCTCTTTTGAACTCCTCCAGCTCTTTCTCAGTGTCTTCCTCAGTCAGATTCCTCTCCCTCTCTGACTGTTTGAGCCGCATCTCCAGAGTGTAGTTGTCGTTACGAAATGCCAGAGACAGCTGCACAAATGCATTCTGCAGGAAGGAAGATGCAACAATATAACACGCAGAATGGCACGCTTAACAGCACATTAAATACCGCAGATCTGCCGGTGATGGCAACACATAAACTCAGCAGGATCCATGGAAAACTCTCCCACAGCTCCGCACATGCACACACAGCATTAATTATGTAATGCTGAAATGTATTTTTATTGGGTAACGTGACGGAGAATCAAGCAGCCTTGGGAACAAGCTGTGATTATAGCATTGACCTCCTGGTGTTGTGCTGTGTTGATCAAAGCCAGTCTGCACATTTTTCCAACACTCACGGGCTGCAGTTTAGAGGAAATATACGACCTCTCTGACTGTCCTGATACACACACACCCAAGGGAGCAGCCAGAAGGGCTTCAGCCCCAGCCTTTCAGCGTCACTTATGTTTACATTTTCTCCACAGGAAATCACTCTGAGTCTCTTTGGTCTGATCAGGAACAGAAAAACAGCTTTTACGACTGTGTAATTAACTTCTTAGGTAACAAAACAGGTTATTATAAACACAGGTCTGCACGTGGCAAATGTTAAGCACCAAGGGGAACAATACATACAAGGGGAACTGTAATGTCTGAGTACAGTTTACTCTGCACGTATTTCTGCTGGTGGGCTGTTTTATAACCTTTTACATGACGACTCCTACACAAGGTTAATCATTACCGTGGAGTTCTTTGAAAGTAAAGAGAGAATATTAAACTCAACATGGAATTTGGAATTTCCCCCCATGGGCCTATTAAAAGAATGTCTTATCTCTTATCTTGTGTTTTGTTTGGAAAGGTAAGCACAGTGGGAAGTCATTTTTTATTGCTCTTTAACAATTCCAGGTTTGTTTTTTTGGTGTGTCTGCATGAGTCTCATCATTATTCAGGCTTTAATCACCACTAAACTGTCTTCTCAACTTTATTATTTCCAATGTCTCCAATCAGTGATATGATTCTTTTAAAAAGCAGAAAAGTATCTACAAAACACCCCAGAAGAAAAGAAATCAAGCTTAGCATGCACAACAAAAGTACAAAAGAGGATAAGGGACACAAGAAGAAAGAAAAATTATTACAGGAGGGAGATTTTTTTTAACGTCCATTTCAAGATTAGAGTCGAAATTTCGAGATTAAAGTCCAAAATTTAAAAAAGTCGTAATTTCAACTTTATTCATGTCAACTTTGATCTCAAATTTTCAACTTTCTAATCTTGAAATTTCAACGTTATTCACAACATTTCTTAATTACGAAATTTAGACATTGTTTACATGTCATGATCTCGAAATTTCGGCTTTAATCTCAAAATTTCAATTTTTTGATCTCAAAAGTTCAACTTTATTGACATAATTTTGATCTTTTTAATCTCGAAATTTCAATTTAAATGTTGAAATTTCGACTTAAATCTCCTTCCTGTAAATATTTTTTTTTTCTCTTCATGTGGCCCTAATCCTCCTTTGTAAAAAAGTCACAAATCTAAACTTTGCCACAAATAAAAATAAAATTGGTGTTGAAGTTCAGATACCAACCTCAACTTCTTTTTCAGTGAGTTGGGGCGCACTGGAACGATATCAAATAGGAGCTGTTAGTAAGGTCAGTGATGGTCATACACGGTTTAAACAGTTATTATGTAAAATGGGTTACTTTTAAGATAAGGCAGAAAAATGTAGGTAGAAGAAAAGATTAATGTTGACTGTTAACATTAGCAGCCAGTGTTTTGTTACGCACCAGCCTGGTAGACCGCGATGGAGTTTGAGTTTTCTCAGCATCACATCAGAAATGTTTGGCATGGCGTCAGACCTCTCCTTTGCTTCCTCTGAGTTCGTTGAAGGTGGTGGACCTGCAGACACATTGTTTTGTACTGTACATAAGACCAAAACAGAATATACAGAAATCTAAATCCATTTTTGTCAAAGTCTGTAAAAAAGAAAAACACATGCTGCTGAGTAAAAACTTGTAACTTCCCTGAAATTAAAATACTTTAATATAGGATGACAGGAATATAAGTCAGCTGCTTAGTGAGGAGAAATTATCTTTTTATGTCAATTACTTTTAATAAGCAATACCCACTGAGCAATGGACGGCTACAAGACGTCTAGTTTTTTTTTTTTAGACCTAATTTCAACCGTCTAGATTCTGTAAATTTTAGACGGAATTTAGACGTTGCACTTTAACCCATTATTTGATAACTATTTATTTCAATAAGCAACTGTGAGTTGCATAACTGATTTCCAAGTACTTAAGCAAAATAATTATGATAGCTGTTGAGCTCGGCTACATTAAGACCTCTTTTAGACCAAAAAATGCTCAGTGGGTACCTACAAAACTTTTACAGTCTGGTTCACAAAAGTGTCTTTGTGTGGCTTTAGCTGCTAAACTTGAACCGAACAGACATTTCCCGATTTACAAAGCACATGCAAAGTGTTAGATGCATCACAAAATGTGCAGAAGAGCAAACTGCTTTACTGTTGACAAGTGTTGTTTGCATATATTCAAATTTGTGAAAGAACAGACCTATTTTAGTGCAATGTTTTTCTTTTTATTTGGTATTAGAAAATTATTTTTGTTTTAAAAAGAGGAAGCTGTTTTCTGTCTGGCTTTAGAGTCTTTAAATCCTGAATGTTTAATGAACTAGAGATGTATTTCTCACAAAACTGTCTTGATTGTGCACTGATTATCTGGTTGAACTTGAGTGTAGCTGCCACCAAGTTGAGAGTCTACTTCTACTTCACTGTCCTTTTCAGAAAATAAAACATAAGGCCCCGATTACATCTTCCACAGGACATCTTTGGCTCACATGATTCAACAATCATGCCATCTACTGATGGAAAAGTAAAACAGCATTTGTTTCCCTGTTATGGGATTGCCAGTAAATGGGTGGCATTGAGGGAAACGCATCAGGAACATCTCATCATTATTTTGCGAGTGGAACAGATTTTCCCTGAGATTTAGGAAGTGCACACCCATGCAGCGTTTCTGAATGTCTCAGTCTCACAGGAACGAGAGAGCAAACAATGACTCTTACCTTTTTCCTGTTCAGCAGCTTCACTCAAGTCCGGTAACTTGGATCCCACTATGCTTTGGTTACGCATCAGCTTGTGCTCCTGTACACACAAAGCACAAACATTAGGATATTTCCTATCTCCCATGTTTGGGAAGATCTGACTGAAAACAAAAACATCTGAAAAACACGTGTCACCTCTTTGAGTTTAGAAAGTTTGTGCATGCCCCCAGGCTGTCCAGGGAGGTCCTTGTACCCCGAAGTCTTGAACACAGCATCCCTAGGATTTTCAGAGAGATTTTCCTCAAGTGTAGGAGGGAAACTCGGAGCGCCGCTTCTCGAATTCAAACTGCCCACAGAGTCCCAGGACACAGCCCTCATCAGCGGAGGGAAGGCCCCAATCGTCTTGATCTCTGCTGTACAGGGGGCTAGCTGAGTAGGGGGTCTGGGGACGGGCTTGGCCACGCCTGTGGCGGGGGCCTGGTTGAGGTTTCTTCCTGGACCAGCTCCTTCTTCAGCTTTACTGTGTGCTGAAGTAGTCTTATTTAAAGAGGGATCACAGTTCTCCTTCTGAACGGCAAAACGTGGTGTTAGAGTCCCAGAGGACACTTTCCTCTTCTCTGCTGGCTTCCAGTCCACCAACAGTCTGTTTCCCTGAGGCTGGAAAGACAACAACCAGTATAAATAACATGCTGTGATCATAATCATCATTTATTGATCATTATAATATCTAAAATATATTATTTAGCACTTTTATCAAACACTAAACTCTAAAAAATTAGATCCAAATTAGCCACACAAGCAGCTTTAGCAGGCTGCACTGAGACACTGCAGGGATGTGAGCTAAATGCTAACACTACCATGCTAACATGAAGATAAGCCAAGCAGCTGGTTTAGATTATGTACATTTTATATATAGTGTCCAAATCAAAATCCTGACAAAACGGTTTTTCAGAGAGAAAGGTCAAAGGTTGATTGAAATCTTCTAAAATCAATTTTAAAAGGATTGTGAATAAATTTTCCAAATTACGTGGCCCCTCATCCAACAGTTTCTTTTTACATAAATGTACTGTATATTTAGCTGCATGCAAACCAATCTGTCTTTTTAATATCTGAGTGCCTTTATTCTTTGAAACACACTCCTCTACAAAAGTTTTTTTAAATCAGTCTTTCATTAGTAAATATCAAATAATTTATCAATACATGTGCGACAGTGAGTGAATCTGTCGATCCCACCTCCTTATCCTGCGATGTTAAGTCATGCTGCTCTCGCCCTGAAGGAACCCCGAGGTGCTAAAAGAGAGGGAAACACACTCTAAAAAGTGTGACTGGGCTAAATTAATATTTACAAAATAAATACCAGTAACGTATATGTAAATAAAATGACTGTGTGCAGTTTGATATATTATTATGTTGATCTAAACTCATTTGAATCATTGCATTTTACTCATTTTTGTTTAAATAATATCAGCTAAAAAACACTGAGTTAAATGTAATTATATTAACCAGTTAAGTCAACAATGTTCAAAAATTAAGAAATGCTACTCAATGGAAACTATTTGGTTTATATTGCTGTACACGTGTTTCTCCACCTAAGACAAGTTGTGCCAAATTGTTTAAATTGACTTAATTAAATCAATAGTTTTTAATTAAAGTTTAATTAATTTTTTCAAGTAGACAATGGTCAGACTTTTCTGAGTGCACAGCAATTTTACTTTTAGTAAAGAAATAACCTTGACCTCACATTGAAACATGATTGGATTAGAATCAGGAAGATATCAAATGTTTTTAGCAGGTTTCTATGTGTGGAGATGAAGTGGCATATTGGAACATTAAAAAACACAAAACTACCCTAACCATCTTGACATCATCCCTTCTGCTATCATGTCAAGTTGCAGTTCGATGGATTAATGTGTTCCTTTAAAGTGACTGTCTGAAAGTATCAGGAAATTCACACCAGATCTGAAGACACCAGAAGTTTCAGGGTTTTCTCAGGACAGGAATATTGGCTCTCTGTTCAGGGTCACTAGGATAGAGCAATGAAGCTGGACTTTGAGTCTTGGTTATTCAATCAAATATTTGTGGGTATTTTTATCATTTCATGTGATTCATGTGTTGGAAATTCCTTCCGGGCCTTTGTGGGTTTACAAGCTTAGAAGAGTAGGGCAGACTTTGGTACCATTCAGAAGTCTTAATAAGAGTAACACATCCAGCTTAACTGTGGAAAGTGAGAACGAAACAAAAAGATATCTTCACAACACCTCCCCCACTTGAATAATGTCTTTACCTGTGAGTTGACAGGGGTCGTCTCTGTGGAAAAGATCAGAAAACAATCAGGAAAACGACTGAGGCAAACCCAGCGTCCAAATGAAAACATGAGAAATTGGCGGAGCAGTCTTGCAGAAAAAGTGATTCATTGTTTTCAATAGAGTTAAAAAAAAGCCTGGAAGGAGTGAATTACCGCTTTGAGGAGCCGCAGTCAGTGAGCTGCTTCTGGACTGACATGGTGAGGATGACGGGGTTTGATTTGGAGAAAGAGCTGAAGAGAAAAGTGCATTTTTAATCATAACTTGATTCCATTAGATGCATATTTGCTTGCAGTTAAAGTAACAAACTAAATTCAAGTCTACACATTTATCTCATTTGCTAATAATTTCTATCTTCTGTGTCGAGTGTTTATGTCTGTATCTCTGTGTGTGGTCACTACCTGTGGGGGACTCTGAGAGGCTGCCAGTGGAGCGGCGGCCACGACGTGTCAGGAAGCGGTCACTGACCTTCTTGGCCTGTTCGAGCAGCTCCAGGTTCTTCTGTCGATCCTCCTCAGAGAGCTGCAGCTCTGGCAGAGGATCCTTCACCAGGTCAATTACATTACCTGTGCTGTCTACAATGAGAACGTACACATGTGTACACACATTTAACACCCACTCAGATGAAAATCCTGCTTTTCTTGTTGTCTGCATGTTCATATGGCATTTTTCTGATGCTACAGGATATATTATGAGAAAAGAGGGTGCAAAATTGCATTTCTGTGTATTTCTGCATTTAAATCTTTGTGAACCTCTCACAGTCCCAAACGTCAGGCTCAGACACACTAGCCACGTTTACATGTGCAAAATTTCTTGATCTGATTCAAAAATTGAGGGATCAGATAATCTGAATCCACTGTTTATACGGGCACAAAATCAAATAATCTGATCATGACGTGTACATGCACCAAGTTTTATTCAGATTAGAAGCATCTGGAAATGGGCAGAGTTGTCTGATTTTGCTAAAACAACCGCAGATGAAGAAGTGCTGAATTGGATCAGAATCTTTCGATCAACATGTTTACATGGCGCATTTTTATTCCATTATTCAGATTATTTGTGCCCATGTTAATGCAGCTAGTGAGATTTCCTATGTCACAACTCTAAGCTCCGCCCCCGGAGCCCCACTATGCAGGCCAGACTCAAAGAAGTACAGAGGACAATTGCGGAACAAACGTGTGCGTTAGCGGATTGCAATGCTCGTAAAAAAGCTAATAATGATATTAACTTTCATCATGTCCCCAAAGACATTAGTGTCCAAGTGCTGAATAGCTCCTATGTTATCTGCTACTTCTCCTACACTGGCAACCTTAGCCTACAAGCTAGCATGAAGAGGAGTGTGCAGAGCAGCTCTTTCTTTCTTTCTTTCTTTCTTTCTTTCTGGACATGGTTAAAAAATGTATATAAAAAAACACACAAAACAACAGTTAAGAATAGAATAAAATAAGTGCCTCACTTAGAAGCACATCAATCTCACTTGTCACAACAAAATTAGAACAAAAACAAAACCAGAGTATCCACATGTCCAAAAAAGGGGTAAGAAGAAGTCAAAGACTTGTCTAGTCTTACCCCTCTGTTACTGATCTCATATAACTTAACTTAAACACTATAACTAAATGTTTTTTTTAAAAGTGCTGTCTCTGCTGATGACTCTGAGGTGAATGACTAATGAGCTACTGGAGCTCTGCAGAAGCAAAACCCTTGAAAATGACAGGAAACGTGATTTTGGCTAAAAACTTACGATCACAATTTAAAGACTTAGACATCACACTTTAAGTAGTAAAAGGAAAAAAAACGATCAGAGTGGGACTTTAACACTCTCCACATGCACATGTATTATTTCATATTACTCAACCTGCTACTGCTTGAACATGTCTCTGAATCTACATGTCAAAATAAAAGCATAGAAAACACAGCTACAGCCCCCACTTTATCAGACTGTAAAAACATGTATATCTTATGTACAAGAACCCAGAGACTGATGTTGTGTCAGAGTCCTCTGAAGAAGACATTTAAGTGGGATTCTTGGTATAAAGTCTCAGGATAGGGAGTTATTCACAGATGCATGAGAGGCAATAAGTCAGGTGATGAAGGTTGGCCAAGTCAAGGATGATTTTATCTCCTCTCTAAACTAAAAAGAGAAATCAGCTACATGAAAGTCAAACATTTCAGGCATGTGAGAGGACACATAGACGGATTCCCTGAGACCAAATTTAGTCGAAACGCTGTGAAGGTTTATAAGACAGGAGGGTACTATAACACATTTTTGTCTAATGATTAAAAATACCAAATACCTCTGGATACCTTCCTGACTACAGCTGCAGTGTGTGTGTGTGTGTATGTGTGTGCAGGGTTTACCCACCAACTGTGGTGATGGGTCCTGAAGAAGATTTTCTTGCCAGCCGAGCTCTAGGACTGTGTGGTCTGAGAGCAGAAACAGCAGTGATTTAGATGTGTTTCAGAAATACTTCTCCAAATAAGAAGAAAACTTTCTGTTTCAATGATCACCTATTCTGCTCCAGTGAATGACCGTCTGGTTGGACTACAGTGGTCTGCTGCGGGTAGACGATGGTGGGGGCAGTCATGATGACAGCTCGATTCTCACTTGGTGTGGACTGAAAAAAACAAACAAACACACAACAAAAACTGTCACTTAAAACATAAACTGCAGACCCAGAGTTTCAGATATTAACCAATGAAGTGGTGGTAAGTTTGTTGCATTTCCCTTCTTTCTAAAGATATGTGTAATCACAGTACAAACTGAAATCACACAGGTATTTATACTTGGACAAAAAGCTTCCCAGCAAAATCCAAGTTGCCATCATGCTGTACCGTCTCATATGTTTAGAAGAGGTCTTGTTGCATTTCGAGTGCCTGAGGATACGGAGGAGGATTAGAGCCACTGTGAAAAAAAAGGTCCAATATAATTTTTTTTTAAATTTTTATTCTGAGAAAAAAGTCTGAATTCTGAGATTAAAGTCAAGTCAAAGTCAGTAATTAAAGTCTGAATTATTTTCTCAGAATAATAATTTTTTTTTAATTATATTGGACTCTTTTTTTTTCCAGTGGCCCTGGTCCTCTTCCGTATAAGGATGGTTAGCCTTTAGGCAGCAACAATTTTGATTATATGAAAGTCCACCTTAAAAATCCTGCTTGGTTTCACTAAACTTAGAGCATGAAGAATCTCCATTTACAACTGTGATGTAACTTAAGATCAGCTACGTAACAACTCGTCTAAAATGCACATGGAAAACTCCTGAAAATAGCTTTTGGATTAAAATGAATAGCTTTGTGTTTTTTCAAGGTACGAACAAAGACGGTTTTCAGAGGCAACTTGTGACAAACTTTAGGGACCCTCAGGGAAAAAGACAGAGAACACATGAAAATCATGCTGACTGTAAAAACAAACTTAAAATGTAACTGTAAAAAAAGCTGAGAGATCAAAAAAAGAAGATTTTAAACAAAGTGAAAAGCAGCACAATGTGTCTTTAACCATTTCAGTTCTGTATTTGCACAAGCTAATTGTCCTCCAAGAGGGAAAAACACAACATCTTTAAGTTTGATCACAGATATCAAAGTCCTGTATCGGAGAATCCAAACCATTAAATCCATGCACGTACAAGGAAAATCAAACTCTGATCCCTGAGCTCCTCAAAAAGTCATAACAAATCAAACAATATGATTTTGCTCCTGTTTGGATCATCTGAGAATATATCTGATGATCATGAAGTTGAGCTCCACAAGAGGTTCCACACATCCTTTTACAGTTTACAGAAAGTTCAGATGATTTCCTTGAAAAGGCAAACATAGTCGACTGCATAGACTCATAAAACATCAGGGAATCCGTGGAATTACACCAGAATTTGTACACATAATTTGAGAAACCATAAAAAACAGGAGCAAAAAAGGGAAAAAAAGCTTTTTAAAAGTTGCCAAATGAAAACAGACTCCTTAAAAGTGCAAAGTACTCATAAAATGTTTATTTTGCCCAACTGTTAATGATGATACCTTTTTAAAGAACCGATTCCAGGAGCAACACGGATAGATTCTCCTCAACATGAACAGACAAATATCTTTTTGTCAGTTCTTATGGCCTTGAGTGCTGTTACCAAACAAAGAAATCTATGTGGTACATGAAGTTACACTCACTGTACTGGGAGAGCTGGAGGAACTGTCCACTTCCTCTGGCGAGTCCTCCTCTTCCTCAGGCAGTGTGGGCATGCTGGGGGGGAGCGATGGTCGTGAGCGGGTGTGTGGGAAAATAAACGCTTCTCCAGAAGCGATGGGGGCGTCACGGGGCTCCTTGGAGAAATGATCTCTTAGATTCAGAGGAGTTACTTGCTGCGAGTCTTCTTCCTCCTCCTGGACCGAGAAAAAGACAGTGTCCATGTATGTTATGCAAGAAGGGGAAACATTTTACATTCATATGCATTCAATTCGTAAATGTTCGGGGAAACTCTTTCTGACTTTTTTTAGTCTGAGAACATGAATGACGCGTGAATAATCGCTAATATTTGAAAGGAAGTCCGAGCTGACCACAGCTAAAAACAGATACAGCAGGAATAACACAACGGTCACATCATAAACAAAGACCAAAATAGCTTCATTCCTCATTGCTCAGAAGAGCAGCAAATTTACCACAAGACACTACCATCAAAAAAACAGAAGCCCTATCTTTGAACTATCTGTAAATACAACCTCATTTTTAAGGATCTAACTTTAAAACAAAAGGAAGAACACTTTCGTTTACAGAGCCTATAAAAGGAAAATAATACATCAGAAGAATGTGGTAAAGCCGCTCCAACCATTACTCAGCTAAACTCTCAATAAAGGGACACTTATGGGCACTTAAAAATGGAGTCTATTAGTGTTCATCTGTTCTTCTCATGATGAAAATATTAAGCCTGGAGTTTAAGAATATGCATTTTTTTCCAGAGTTGATCCTCTAACTGCGCTGTGGTCACTTTCAGGCACACAGATACACTTATGGACGAACAACAACAACAACTCACAGCCTGGATATACTTTAATATCATCACCCTAAACTACAGGTAGTGATAACACACCCTTTTATTATTGATGCCTCATTATCTGGCAATGCTTTCAACAGGTGTAAACACAGCGTTTGTTTATTATCAACTTTTAGGTTTCTGAGTTTGTACTACACTAGTGTATACTGCTTGAAGTCCAAGGTGTCAGGGATTTGTACCCTATGAGAATAGGGCCCTGATGTTAGTTTTTTCAGACTGGGATGCTCTGGGTTATTATAATGCATTTTCATATGCCTCCTCATAGTCTGACTAAAGCTGTGAACTCCTGAAGGACAGTGTAAAACAAACAGAGGAGGAGCTGTGTGGAACAATTATGGAGAAGAATTTCATTACTGCACACTGATGATTTTTCCCTTACAGCACATCCACACTGTAACTCAATTTAAGGCGTATCGGGGTGGAAGGTTGTTGGTGGAAGACAGTTATACAACTACTGACTGACAGATAGGACATATAACACAAGTAAACTCAGAGGAAACCATAGACTGTATATATTATGGACAACTTGGTTCCGCCTTCCATCATTATACGGGTTTGAAGCCAAAAAGCTCTCATTTTTTTCTCCACTTCCTGAAACCAACTTTGCGTAGTAGAGTTGTACGCATTTGGCGGGAGAGTTGCCGAGAGTCGCTGTGATGACGCTCAGCTCAAACAGCGTATCCCCCGGGTGAGCTACGCAATCTTTGTACACCCGTAGGCTGCATCAAGTGTCAATCATAGAAAATGTGAACCCCCTAATAACTTTTAAAAATGGAGCAGCACAGAAAAAAGAAGACTTGAGCACAAACTAGTCTTACAGTAACTACATGTCAACATCACAACCAGGCGGGAGAAAAATGTATATTCTGTGTAATTCATTTTTAAAGTTTGTCCACAGCTTCGTAGGGATTGCTGGAGGAGGTGGGATTTATGACTGCAGCCCGTCACCAGAGGGTGCTGTTCTTGGACTGGCTTCACCCAGCAGGAGGCAGACAGCGTCTATTCTATATACTGTCTATGGAGGAAACCTGTCAGAGGTACAAATTGGTGAAGAACTCTGCTACTCAGAGACAGGAAATACCGGCTGAAATGGAGGAAACGACACAAAAATGACAAATGGATATTTTGCTTGGTTCCCGCCAGCTAATCAGTAAACAATTAGACTGATGTAAATGATCAATGATGTTAAAACATCAGGTGATCATTGTAAAGACTCTGCAGTCAGAACTTCTGAGTCACCACAGTTTATTACACACAGTTTAATGATATTCTGTTGTTTGATTAACTAAAACCCACAGAGGTCAGTTGACTGAGAAGTTCAATACTGAAATTTGTGAAGCTGAAATACCAAAAGATTTTTTGTGTGTTAATCGATGAGTTGCCTCTACCTTTTAAATTCTGGAGAAGCTACCTGAATGTTTAAAACTATAAACATCACCTATTTAGTTTAATAATATAAAAGCACCATTTGAACTTAAAGCTCCTTCCTCTTCCCAAAAAAGGATGCAAATCAAAATGCAAAGCAGATTTTACCCTCTGACAGAGCACAGAGTGCAAAGACTGCTCACACCGTCATGCAAGTGGTTGCTAATGTAGTCCCCCCACTCATTTGGTTTCCCCAGAGATAGAAGTATTTACATATGCATGAGCAGCACAGGTGCTGCTGTTGTATTCAGCGTCAAAGCTTGTAGTAAAATTAACCAGCAGACAAGTAAGAGGTGTGATGTTTTATATGCACTTTCTCCAGGACAGCTGCTCTGTGGTGTGTAGATGATTTTAGCCAGAATGTGCGGTGTGCTGTTCAGTGTCAGCGACATGAAAATGACAACCTCTGAGGAGCACAAAGCGACAGAAAGACTGTGAGGAACTGGAGAGGAAATGGCTTGTTTAACTGACTCCCGCTGAGCTGAGAGGATATTTCCTGACTACAAGAAAACTGTCACACAGGATTAAGATCTTGACTCTTTCAGAGCCTGCAGAAGCATCAAGTACATAGTTCTTCATACTTATGTTTGCACAGTTTTACCTCATTGATTTTGTTTCTTATTTCAGCTGATTCTCATAAACTGAATGATATCTTGATGAGATTCTGCCACATACATTAACAGGAGTGAGTCACACAGTATTTCCAACATAATTATACTAATGATCTCGCAGCAACAACCACCTGCATTTTACGCAGATGAAAGCATCTGAATTGTAATTTCTTCTTATGAAATCCTTGTCCTTTTTAAATCAGTTATGCACTTTTCGGTAACACTTTATTTGACGCCTATCTCTATCATGTGTATAATCACTTTATAGAACTGTGTAACTACAGTTATAAACACTCAAATGATCATATATGATTATAGCAAACAACATTATTGCATTATCTATGTGGGTGTTGTCAGTGAGGTGTTAAGAGTTATAACACATTGTAATACCTGACTTTGTAAGTCATGATAAAATGCTTCATAATATGTTGTAGAGATAGGTGCAAATAAAGTGTTACCCACTTTTCCACAGTTTTTCAAAAGATATGATATGAATAATTAGATAAAGACACAGAATTCAGAAAACTTTGGGAATTTAAACAAACTTCAGTTTCTGTGTATCTGTCAACTGGCGATTCTGCAAGGTTTGTTTGAACCTGAATATGATAAAACTTTTCAATAAGAAACCCAAACAAACTGCAAGTGCAGCTCAACAGGTTAAGGATTCACTCAGGTGAAGAAAATCTTCTTTTAAACAATGAAAAAACACACCATGAGAAACTGCTGTATCTAAAATTTACCTGACCAAAACAAAGCGGCTAACCACCCCCACGGGAGGCCCTACTGTTTCCCTGCAGAGCTAAATAGAGCAGGGATAAATATTGCAGAGTAATTGAATCACTCAGATTATTTCCTTTGGAGGAGCAACAGGACAGAACATACAAGCCTCAATACAGTAAGTCTTTACACCACAACTCCCAGAGGACACAAACATGTTGCAGTTCACACACATCCTCCTTAAGAAGCTTATTTTAACCATCAGAGTCTGAATTAAACCGTCATTGCAGCAAAGCTGAGCAGTCTCTTTCCTCGGGGGACAACATGGGGACCCTCCTCCCTTCTTCTGTTACATAAGCCCGCTCCCTCCTGCCAGATTTGTTTAAAACTTGGTTGTGTGAAGTTCAGAGTACACGGCTGCAGAGGAAGTACCACATTCAGAGATAACATGGCAGAGGAAGTGTGAGGGGGAAAAGAAAATAGATCAGATGAGAGTGTGGATGAGTGCACTGACTTTAAAATGATCACAATGAAATGAGAAGAAGAAGAAGGGAAGATTAAACTGAGATTTCATCAGACCAACTGTAGATTATGTAAACTCCAAACTTTTGGCAGGGTGTTTCAACCTGATGCGAAACAACCTGCCAAAAAGTCCAAAACACAAACACAAGCCTGACCCGAGTGCAGAGATGTGAACAGAGCAGCAACACCTGACGCTGCAGGAGTTCACTGAAAACCATCACCCACTAAGACCCCACAGCTTCACACGCCTGATCATCAGAATCTGTCCACAGAAGTCACACACATTACCTGAGTCTACCATCAGCGCAGCAGAGAAACACACTCCCGCTGATCTCTCCAACAAGGACCAACTTCCCTCACCGCCGGACTGTCACTCTCGGGTTATTCCTCAGAAAACTCCTCTATCCTCGGGGCTTCTCCTTCCGTCTCCCGTCCCCTCTGTTCCCTTTCTTTTTTCAGCAGCAGCCGCTCTTTCACTCCCTGGGAGCTTTGACCATTTAAGGAGAAGGGCTCTGAATGCCTCTTAGGGCTGCTGTGGAGTGTGTGTGCGTTTACGTGTGCCTTTTCTGCTGCTGCTGCTCCAGTGATCATCCCACAGAAGAAAAAAAATGAAACTACTTGAAGGAGCTTGTTATTTTTTACTGAAGGGGTTTGTTTTCTTCTACTAATCGTAGTTCGAGGGCAACAGGAGATTATTTCGTGAGATGTTGTACGCAAAGGGATGTTTCTCAGAGATTGATAGGGAGATTGTGTCTATTCCAATCTTTGTTTACCCTTCAGTCTAAGAGGAATCCCTGCACCCTCATCTGAGCTCTTAAGGTCCATCTGTGCTCAGAAAACTGAACAGTTGAAACATGCAGAGTTTTCTTTTACTGCAAGATATCACAGTTCCAAGAGCTGTAGTCATCTTCTATTATTTCGGACGAAAAAAGCACAGAAGTCACATTGCTTGTGGGAGCACAGCTGACTTCCACGGCAAATTACAGCATTACAGCTGAAATAACCTAAGCTGATAATGTGAAGTGAAACACTGTGAATGAATCTGTTTATCGCTTGGAAAACTTATGGAAAAAAACGTCAGATGTTCTCACTTAAATCAATCTGAACATAAATCTTCTTTTAGATAATCCATTGTTTCCTTTTAGGAGGAAATGCAACACATTATTTAATCAAGTAAATATACAAGTTATACAGCTTTCATTAAGTACAATCCTGCATACAAAGCTAACATCTCATCAGTCTGCTGATTATTCTCTTACTACTCTATTAGAAGTAGCACAATTATTTTAAGTTTCCCACTAATGCACTCAGAGTGAGTAGGATTTAGTGACATCTAGTGGTGAGATCGAGGATCGCATCAAACTGGCAACTTTCTCCCTAAACCAAAACCAAGAATGAATTGCGCCTTGAGTCGGGGTTTGCACTCGCTTGCTGAAATATTGCAGCACAATTCAAATTTCCTCTAAATGGTGAGAGGTTGTAAAACTTAAGCAGCACTAGAGATTTACTTGTAATTATTTGAATGATTTTATCTCTCATTAGGTTGAAAAGCCTTTGCTTGAGTATCATCTTATGAGGATCAACATTCAGGTTCAAACCCCACACAAATACGCCATATTAGACACGCACCTCTGCCTTTAAGGAACTATTCTAACCTACTTCATCAGAGCGGGGAAGAGCCTTACCTTGTTGCAGCTGCCTCGTCTTGTGCCACCTGTTGGAGCCAAAGCACACACAGTGAACACGGGTCATTTGCATTTAACAGGAAAGCATGCAAATGTCAAGAGATGGTTAAAAAAAGAAAAACAGAAGTCATATTATGAGTGTGTTTGAGAGTGTGTGGGGGAGACACACTAAAGAGACAACAAATAAGGAAGTGATAAGTTGAGTTCTCTGTTCTCTGATGTTGTTGCCGACAGCATGGTGTTCATCTGATTGGTAGAAAACTACATCAACTCTTGTTTCAGGAAGTTTCTCGCCCCTTCTACTCTCCACCTCCATAACCAGGGGCAACAATCACCTGGCAACCATTTGGAGCGCACACGATGTTTGATCTGCTGGTTGACAGCTCTTGGACTGAGTGTGGGCTATTGTGACGACAGCTTTAAGTGCTCTCAGATAAGAGGTTTGTTATGTTAGGATAACAGGTGAATGGTCGAACACAAACAGCGACATAGTAGCTCAAGTACTGGAGATAATTAAAGACCTATAGATTAAAAAAGGATACACTTAAAAAACACTCAACTACTCTTGTGTTGCCAATTAATTTTGACATTTCTCAAGGTTTGCGATTGCAGAATTTCGAGCTCAAATCATGCATAAAAAAGTGGAAACTACCTGCAACTGAAGACGGAAAATCACAACCCATTTGTCTGAAAAATAGCACCTTTTTGCCTCACTTAACTCTTGGACTACTTTATTTCTCTCTCTGTCCTGGAAGCAGCCGTCTTTACGAACTCAGTCACATTCCAGCTAAAGTGATTTTGCTATTTTCATCTCCCTCTCATCAAAGAGAGCACACTTTACTGCTGCCACGCACAGAGCATTAGAGACCCTTTTCTAAATTATTTATACTCAGTAGATCTTTGTTCGTCACACAGTCTGACTTTGCCTCATTTTAATCAACATTACACCTAAAAACAGGCTCCAGTAGAGAGTCCAATCTTGATTTATTATCTCATATTTATGTTTTTATTAGTGTTGCTACATAATGGAAAGATAAAGAAGTTTTAATGGAGGCTGAGTACTGCATGTGCCATTGATATCATCAGATATTCAAAAGCACCAGTGACAGTGCTGCTCTGAAGAGACTGAAATTCACTCCCTAAAACCATCTGAGATTGTAAAGACCCCCATACTTTCTAATCACTCCTAAAAACACACTTTTTTAAACTGGCCTTTCACCTGTGAACTGTTCTTTTATTGTCTTTTCATATTATCTTTTTTAACCTTTTACATTGTTGGTTTTCTTTCTCAAAATTTTCTGGATTTTAAATTGTATTTTTCTTCTTTGTAAAGTGCTTTGAGCACCTGTAAAAGCGCGTTGAAAATAAAATGTATTATTATTTATTAAGGTTCAGATTGTGATTTTGAGTCACTGCTTTTAGTCTGCTGGTTGGTTTGCCCCTTAAATTAAAATAAAGTAAATGATAAAATTATGAAGATGTTTGGATGTAAAGCAAATAAAGGTTCTTTATAACTTTATCAATCCCCTGACTTTCTCTTTGCCACCAGCATGAGGTTGACATTTATTGTTTTTAACAAAACTTTCCAGCTACATAATTAGACACAGGGAGATTCAGCCAAGACCAACAGTCTTGTCCTCTACAATCTCTAAATTTACATGTGTATGGGCCAGTTCTGCATTTATTTATACACTGTATTTGTGAATATCATTTCATTCGTAAAATTTAACAGGCAAATATTAATCCCTTTATCCACAAACATAACCTCCTAAACTTAGATATGTAGGCCTGTTTGTTCAATAAACTTATTATCTTTTTTTATGATGTCTCAAATATCATATCTTGTCTGTTGTTGTTGTAGATAAGCCCTGTATTGTTGATTTGCCTGACATTTGCCTGTGTTTTTCTGACTGCTCACACATACAGATGAGGCCTTTGGGTACAATCTGGCACTCTGCACATCTCTCTTTTATTTAGTACTTTGAGAAGTTCAAGATAAATAACCAAAATCAGCCGAGAGCTGATATTTGTATTTGTTTATACTGGAAGTACTAACATCTAGTGCACTGAAACCATCCTCGCATAAACAGCGACAGGATCATAATTCACATCATTTACATCTTGAACTACCGTGACATCAAACCAGCGCACTTCCATTTTTACAACAGCAACATCCACCATGAATTTAATGTATCTGATTTAAATGCAGCTTCATTTGATAAGCAAAAGCGTCATCATGCTCACGTGGCTCTGGAGAAGATAAACTCCTGAGTGGGTGTCTAAAGAAAACAAAATAAGTGGACATGGAGACTGCACTGTCTGCCGATTCTGGGAAACCTGAAAACACCCCAGACTTCCTTCTTCCTCAGAAGTAAACATAAAATAAAACTATTTCTTCAAAACCATTATGAGACGATTCCTAGTGAATGCAGAATCCTGAAATAGATCTGCTGTGATCATTTTTGAAGATGTCGACAGAATAGCTGCCCTAGTCTTTTGGAGTTCAATAAACCAGTCAGGTATTTTTTCAGGTTAAGGAGCATCTGATCAGATTTTTTAAGAAATATATTCCCATGAATGAGAAGATGGATCCTGGAGTCTTGTTTGTTGGGTACATGATAGCCTGTTTCTTTACCTCTCTACCTTTAGCGTAGCATGAAGACAGGAAACAGGAGGCAACAGCTAGCATAGTCTATCAGTTGGTCCCCCCCGCCCTTGGACTTATTACATACATATATCTTGTTTGATTTTTTTTACGTTCTTTTATATGCATTTTACAAACTAGATACATTGTATTACTGAAGTTTTGAGCTCTTTACCTCTGCTTCCTGCCTTTAGGCTAAGCTAAACTAAGCTAGCCAACTGTTAGCTCCTTTTCTAACTGCAGAGGCATTGGTGCACGAGCTAGTACACACTCCTCAGGAACTTTAAAGCACCGAGGAACTAAATATATAGATATATGTCTAGATATATGGCCCAGTTTCAATTTTTGTCAGTTTTTCATGGAACTAAAAATACTGAACTCCCTCTGCCTTGGCATAAAACTTCTTTGACCTACCCTGATCTCCCCCACAGCCTCTCTAGATCAACAGCATGTACTCCCCTAGAGATAAATCTCTTTTCCTCCTCAGTGTACCAGCTGTTGTTTGCAATGTAAATATCTACTGCGCCTATTTTCAGACATCCTTGGGGATTAGCATCAAAAAAGGAAGGAAGTCTAATTTATCTGTGTCTCACGTGTACCCATGCGTGCACCCTATAACCATCATAGCGCCAAGGCCACAGCCATCATACCATTCATGGGAAGCTGCAGAGGCTCTCTGACTCCTGGGAGAGGAGGAGATGGAGGAGGAGGAGGAGGAGGAGGACTCCTTGATGTGTCTCCATCTTCAGGCTCCACATGAGACTCATATGTAATGGTTTCTGTGACCGCTCCAGGATCAGCCTGCAGAGCGGGGCCTGGAGAAGCCTGTATGAAAATCACAAGAAACAAAGAAAGAAGTCGACGTGTTAAAATGTTGTACTTACAAAAAAAAGAGTATTCAAGAGATAAAACCCCCACCATTTATGTATGTTAACTCCTTACACTCACCGGATTTGAACATAAAAAACACACAACAGATACAAACTTTCATATCTCTTGATAGGAAGACTTTTTGATTCACAACATAATATGATTACACAATGACCACACACACAACTGGACACACAACTCCCAGTCTTTATGGACACCTCCTTTTCATGATCACCACAAGGGGTCATCAGTTTCCTCTGGAGAGTTATAACATGTTCACCGATGCAGGAAAACAAAACGAAAAATCTAAAATCTGCAAAAACCAACTAGTTTACTTTCTCTACAGATAAATTATCTTTGCGTTTATTTCAGATCAAAAATTGTGTTTTTTTCAGGCAAATCAAAATGACATGAATTAAAGATGACAATAATTTTTCAATATTTTAAGCTAAAAAACTTTCTGTTCTTCCTTTTTCTTTGTTGCCACAGCTCTGATTGACTTTTCAATGCTGTCTCAGTTTTTTCATGTTTTTCTCTTATGTGTTTTTCTGACCTTTTCATTTCCTTTTTTAACATCTTGTGTGACGCACACTGAATTGCATTGTGGCCAGAATGTACCCTGTAAATAAATTAGCCACAAACCTCTGTCGGAGGTTCTTCTGTGATCCGGGCCTCCAAAACATTCATCTGCTGGTCAGTGTTGGCAGCTCTGTTCAGAGCCTCCTCCACCCTCTCAGTGATGCTCTCCATCCTCACCCTCACCTGGCTCACCCTCTGCTCGCTCGCTCTCACCAGCTCGGCTGTCTCCAGGGCGCTGTTCACCATCGCCTCCATCCTCCTGAGGGTCGCCAGGAGGCTGTCTGCACTCACCTGAGGCTGGGTCTGCTCCTGCTTTGAGGCTGCTCCACCTGAAATCTCCCTGGCCACTGCTACATCCCTCTGATCCTTCACGACCTTCACCACAGCTCCTTTAGGCTCCTCTTTTTCTGTGTTGGTCGCCTTATCGACAGAAACAGCCCTGATCGCGTTTTTCTCTGCAACACACTCCTGAGCAGATCTGAGGGAAGTTTGCAGGCAGAGGATCTGCTCCTTCATATCAGTGATGGTCTGCTCAGCCTTCTGGAGCTTGGCTTGTGTGTCAGAAAGCTCCTGGAGGGGCTGCTGTTCTCTTAACCGGGCCTTTGCCCCCTCTAAGCTGTGGGTTTTCCACCAGTTCACCACAGCAACTTTCTTGGCCTCCTGACTCTGGCTTTGCTTTTGCTCCTTTGGCTCCCTGCTCCTCTGCCGCTCCTCCACCTTCTCCCCTTTCTCCTCCCACGCACCCTTGTGCAGCTCCAGCTCCTGCAGCCTGAAACCACCACCACCACCACAGACTTATAAACATCTCCTTTACACGCTATTATGTCTGCAGTAACTGAGGGGCACTAAAACTGCACTTAGCCCTGATAGGGTCCGACACAGAAGATTGTTACTCCTATGGGTTGCGTAATAGCAATGCCCGTAAATTCACTGTCACCACCAGACACCCCTTTTACTGGAGGAAGCTTCTCAGAACGGAGTCTAACATCAAACAAATCCTGTCCATGACCTTAAGAGGAGAAAGGGAGGTAAAAAACTCACATACACATTGACAAGCTGCTGTTTGATGCGTGCCTGTTGCTGCTGGCGGTGAGGAAGAGGCCTCTCCTGTGTCTCTACAGGAGTCGAGTCCTGAGTGTGCGAGAAGATACAAGACAGATTTACACATATGCATGTTACTGTATGCCACCACTTTCATCCTCTACTATCTCCTCACCCTCTCAGGATACTTATTGTGCAGAAGATGGGCTATTTCTGCAGCTTTGATCCTGTGGATGATGCTCTGAATATCCTCACTGTGCAGGGATGGGAGGCTTATGTCATCCAGAGCTTGGTGATGCTGCTGCAGACACAGAGAAACATGGTCAGCTTTCAACAGAAAATTAAGATAACCTCTTTAGATGGTGAGCATTTTCTACCTGCTGCATATCCTGTATTTCACTCTGCAGACAACGATGGTTTGGAGGATCTTGACCATAGAGGTGATGAGGACCAATGCAGAATCTGTCATACCTGCCAGGAACAGACCAAAAATAGAGCTCAAGTATTCATTTTTAGGTGAAAGCAAAATGTAAAGATACTTAGAAGCTCGCAATTACCTTTCTTTCTCTGTTATAGGGTTGCAGCACACTTTATAAAATCAAAATCATGACTTTTTAAGATTCTTATTAGTCTAAGAACCATACAGAAAAAAATAAACACAAATTTTGCATGGCAGAACAAGCAGTAGTTAAGTCAGAGGTGTCATATTCAACCTCAGGTTTTAAAGCTTTTATGAAATCTCAGTTGCTCCGTAATCCTCGTTTGCCCTCTGCAAACCAAGACAAATTTCATCAGACATGCACTTTCTCATCTTCATTTCCTTCCCTCTCCTGTTGGGTTTGCAAATGCAGTGGATCATCATGTGGACAAGAAAATCCATAAAAGGATTTCTTTAAAAAAAAAAGGGAAATCATACAACCCCAGTAAGACAGTTTAGATTAATAAATATTCAGACATGTCTCAGTCAGAAAAGTGTCTGATCTTTGAGACCTCTCATGGGTAAAAGTGAAGCCGTTTTCAGCATCTTAGGGACCTAAAATCCAACTCACCTCAGGAGAACTTGGTGTGAATGTTCCTGTAACCTATTCAGCTCTAACTGCAGACCCTGCAACCAGAAAAGAGTTTAAGAGTTGAATAAAAAACATTTACATAAAAAGCCTTTAAATAATTTTTTAAAGTTTGTTGGTTTTTCTTATACTTGACATACTAACCAGTGTTATCACAGTTCATTTAAACCTGTTTTTATGATTGTAATGTATTTACTTAACACTACTCTGCAGCATGAAACTGTCAAATTAAAATCACAATTCAAAATCTACAAAAAAATCAGTTCTCATTGTCTCTTCCCGGAGTGAATCATACCTCGATCATGTTGTGACTTTCTGTATGAGATTTTTTCATCTTATCCATCAGGATCTCTTTCTACACCAAAACATATGAAAGCAAAGTTAACCGTTTGTGTGATTAATAAGAGTTTATAATTAATTAATTAGTAGGACCAACCTTTGTGATTTCTCTGTCTTTCACTGTCAGCGTGATCAGGATCTCTTCAAATTCAGCCTGTAACATCGTGACATTATTTAGTTCTTGATTTAAGCTCAAATCAGAATAAAATTGTCAGAGTTTTCACTCATTTATCGTACCCTCAACTCGGCATTGACTTTTCTCAGTTTGTTGATACTTTCTTCAGAGCATGTCCTCTCAAAGATCAGTTTCTCATTCTGTTTGGGAAAATTTCATTATTATTAATAATTTTTTAACACAAAAAGAACAACTTAGTTTTCAAAAACAAACAAAAAAAGTACAATACCTTGTCTTCAAGCCTTCGAATGTGAACCTTCAGGCACTCAACTTCATTACTCTAAAGACAAAAGGTCAACAGGTAAACAGTTGGGATAAAAAATTGATTCATTTCACACCAAGTGTTGAATGTACCAGTTTGGTGCAGCTGTTCTGGGTGTGGCTTGCTCTCTCCTGAGCTTCTTTAAACGCCTGACGGCTCTCTTCGAGTTCTTCGGTCAGGGATCTGGCTCTTGCTGCTGATCTCTGAGAACTACACAAAGCAAAAAGAAATTAAATCATAAGAAAGTAACATGAAACACAGAGTTTATTGTGCTTCATACCTCTTTCATACCAAAATAAGAGAATAAACTCAGAACCTCTGCTGACAAAGAGCAGGCCTGTCAGCTGTGTGATTATGTTACATGCTGTCATACATTTTCCATCATCCTATACTTTGCACTGAACTGCCTCTTTAAATGATATTGTAATACTGCATGCTCTGGTTGAAGTTAAATGGATAGGACTGTAATTGATCCTTCACCTGACCAGCTTGGCTCTCAGCTCAGTGATCTCAAAAGTGAGCTGCAGGTTGATGTCTTCACACTGAGCCACCGTCTTCAAGAGGCTGCTGTTCTGCTCACTCAGCTTACGATGAGCCTGCTTCAGCTCAGCCACTGTGCCAGATAAATCTTTTCCATCACTGAAGCCAAAACAAACATTTAGTGGGTAAGCATTAACAAATGCTGATGTATGAGGTAAACCTATGCAGTGATTTAAAGAAGGAGCAGCTGACCAGGAGCATTGAAGGGTTTCTGAAGAGGCAGCTTTTGTTTCAGAGGTGGAAAAATCCATTCCTGAAAGATAAGCAGATTTTATGAGATGCAGTGATCGAGCCTTTTCTCGGATGTCTGAACAAAACCATAAACCTGTACCATTTACGAGAACTTTGGAAGAGTCTGGCCAAGATACTTGACTGTCATCCACATCGGGCCTGAAACACAAGAGGGGACATGAGTTCCCAAAATCCACAAAAATAAATAAATAAATAAATAAAATAACTGTACACACATGAACTTCTTAAAATTAAATCGCCATCAAAAGTGATGCTTTTTGAGGATATAATTCACCATAAATGTGCAGGTTTATTCAAGATTGTACCTCTTCCTTTAATACCTGGGAATTATCATCATGAACATTTGCTACTGCTTAAAGAGCAGCAATTAAAAATAAATCTTGGATCTTTTACAAAAGTAAAATTATGATCAAATCCAACTCAATCCAAGTTTATTTGTAAAGCACATTTAAAAACAACAAAACGCTGACCAAAGTGCTGTACAGTAAAAATTAGGAAACAATAAATACAGACAATCAACACAAACCATAAAACAAAGACACACAGGAACACATTATAAAACATAGATGGTTCAATAAAATCATGATTAAAAGGCAAAGTTCTCAATATACATTATACCATTACATGTTTAAATTCACGACTCAATTTTGTTAACTACTTATAGTTTGATATTTACTTTATTTACTTGAAAGTCATTTAATGTTTGAGATATAATTTTCTAAATAAACAAGATGAAGTGTGATTGTCACTTAAAATCCAGAGTGATGAAGCTCTGTCTCACCTGTCCTGGCTGCACTGTGCAATCCACTCCCTCATGGTGACGTGAAAATTCTCTCTGTTCACATGCGGGTCCTGACGGTCAGGGTCGAGCAGATGTCGCAGGGCAGTCAGTCTGTCCTGCTCTGGACTCTGATGCGTCATGGTTTGTAGGTACTGAACGATGGTGGAGGCCAACACCTCTCCTAAGGACAAAAATGATGCAAGAATGATCATATAGAAGTCACTTAAAAAAAAAAAAAAAAGTGATGCATTTTGTTAAAATCAGCGTAACCTTGTGTACCTGTGTTGGAAGTGTTACATGTGTTATACATGATGTCGAGGAGTTCATGCTCCGAGAATCCACCTGTATCTGTGTTGTCCTCAAGCACCTCCCTCCTTGCACGATTTGTTGAATCCCAAACTAAAAGGGTAAAGATGGATAAATGTTATCGCACATAGAGCATATACACAGAGAGTACATGTGTAAATACTGGAGTTGTTGCTTACCATCATTGCTGTCAGACATTGTGCGTGTTTCCTCTGAATTCTCCTGCTACATGACCTGATATTTTAATCAACAGCACACATGTATTTACCTTTTGTCATGTATTAAGTCAATTTACAGAGGAAATACAGAACATATTGAAATCGATGGCAAGCTTTGAGATGAAATCAAACATTGTTATCTAATTGACTTCTCTTCAGTTTATGTTCTATTTTTGTTGTTGTGAAATCTGTCCGGAAGGTCTTTTATCTCAATCCTGCAACAAGAAGGGGGTGGGGATGATACCTATCTCCCAAAAGCAAAAAAAAAAAGGCAAAAACAACAGTAAATTGTGAAGGGGAGCATTGCAAAACCAAATGTCAGACTTATCAAACCTCCTTCAAAAATAACTTGTTGTTAATACCAACTTACTGGTGGAAATACCAATTTAGGACAATCTTCAGTTATTTAACACTTTGAGCAGTTGCTATTTCAAAAAGAGACATCAGTCATAAAAATATTTCACTTACTTCTCAGACTTGGTCAGCTCTTCTGAAAGACGAGAAAAAGCAAATGTTAAATCTGTGTCTTCATTTTTGTTTATTTCCGACAGATCTTACTCTTCAGCCACTATGATGGAAACACAAAAAGTCTTTTTTTCCTTGTGCTTGTTTCCACTGCTTCACATCAAAACCAGCTGACATCCCCAAAGCCCCCCTCAGTCTCCCCTCCTCTCCTGTCCTTCACCACCCACCTCACCCCACTGCTGCTGCAGAGGTCTTAGATCATTTTCCACCCAATGATTTTTTGTCAAATTCAATCAATCAAATTTTATTTATATAGCGCCAATTCACAACAGTCGTCATCCCAAGGCGCTTTCCAAAGAAAAAGAGCAGGTCTAGACTACACTCATTGTTTGATGAATTATCAAGACCCAACCTAAGATGGGATTTGACCCATCTGATCTAACATGAGTGACAGTGGCGAGGAAAAACTTCCTTTTAACAGACAGAAACCTCGGGAAGGACCAGACTCATGTTAGACAGCCACCAGGCCGCTGCTGGGTAGGGGAGGAATACAGAGAGATACATTAAAACAACAGCAACAACAACAGTTCACAAGTTTTACACATCAATTGCACAGTCACACTCACAAATACCAAAGTTTGATTTAGTTCTGATAAAGGTAGTTCACAGTTTTCTTGCAATCTGTGATAAACAAAAAAATCTAAATTCAAGTCCCACTGTGTTACTAAACTCAGGATTTTCCCATATTTTTCGAAACGTCGAAATCCCCCGCTAACACATATAAGTATTTCAGTGAAGAAACTATATTTCGAATAAACTTTTTGGGTTATTTTGTTGGTTTTACCGTGAGCAACCATGTTTTCACCAGACAGCACCATGGTGAATGTACTTCCATGCGGAACGCTTCTTTTCTTCTTAATCCGACCGAGCACATTTCCAGTGACACAGATGGTGGTTTGTTTCCAATCGGACGCAAGTTGTAGCCGCCACCAGACTGCGGGAAGAGATTTTTAAAATTCCCATTAATCGGACAGAAAGTGGACTTTTTCTGTCCTCGAGATGTCTCGGGGCTCCATTGAGATCCCTTTACGGGACACGGATGAGGTAAAACTCCTCTAATTTATCATCTTGTTTATCTGTAGTTGATTGGTTCCGGCTGTGTCGCTCGTCATGTGTGCTAACTCTATTTAGCTTTAGCACAACACAGAGGTGCGATTAATGTGAAACAGCGTCAGAAAGAGTCAAACATGAGCAAAATAAATAACAGAAACATGTTTGGATTAGAGTTTTAGTAACCCATGTAAACAAACATACAATAGAAAACAGTAAAGCTGTTTGCAGTAATGAGTATCAGCCTCAAACGATAATTAAGACGCTGATTGTTCTGCTTCTTTCAGGACAAATATGTTGTTTTTTCGCATATTTATGTGATTTTTAGCTGCGAAAGCTTCTTTTAAATCCTTGCATATATGGTGAATTTTTAGTTTTAAACTGAGAAAGTGCTGAAACATCTGGATCTTATCAGAAATGGTTGATCTGTGTTTTTAGGGTCAAAGTAGTATGACTTTAATGTTGACTGTGATATAGATAAACACAAAGGTTTATTCCTCTATGCCATGGTCCTTAAGTCGCAAATTTATATTTTATTAAAACAAAACCTTTAAATATTCTAATCTTTAACATAAATCCACTTTTTTATTGAGTAAAGTGCATTTTAGAGCACATGATGGGGACGACAACTACTGAAGTTCCGTGTACAGAAAATATCAAACATCGAATAAATATGTGCTAACTCCACTTAGTGTTAGCACAACACAGAGGAGCGATTAATGTGAAGCAGCGTCCTAAAGAGCCAAACATGTGCAAAATAAATGACAGAAACATGTTTGGATTAGAGTTTTAGTAGCCCATGTAAACAAACATTCAATAGAGAACAGTAAAGCTGTTTGCAGTAATGACTTTCAAGAATTGAGAGCTGATTGCTAATATCAAATATCTAATACATTTCGCATTAAATATTTACTTTTTTGAACAAATAATGAAGTTAAATAAAAAGACAAAAACACACAAATAAACAAATGTACTTTATCTGTGTTATGAAGCTTGAATTTGTGAAGTAGATACACACGAAAAATGCCAAACTAAGATGATCGAACAAAAATATCATTTTCTTGTGAAGCCAATGAAAGAGTAGCTTATTTTGTAAAACACTGACAAGAAAGCCAATTTGAGACAATAGTTACGTTAATAAAGTGCTTTATAGAAGGAACTGTGCGTATAAATTCAGTACAGACACTGAGCATCAGTTGATATTTATCATTCAACATGTGCCTTTATGCCGAAGTATAATCAGGATTATCACAGGGATGGCTACTAAAAGTGTTATTTTGAAAGCTTGACAAATTAATATTTTTATGGTCGATCTGCACAACCCACATTCACAACACCCTTTCCAGATACTGTGAGAATGACTTTTGAAACATGTGAATATCGTAATACTTAAATAAATGTTATTTTGCAGGTTATTGAGCTCGATTTCGACCAGCTGCCAGAAGGAGATGAGGTTATCAGTATCCTGAAGCAGGAACATACACAGCTTCACATATGGATTGCATTGGCGGTGAGTTAATGGAGCTATAACAGACATTTGTTAAATTTACTTCTGCAATATTAGCTTCATCAGTTACACTCAAGAGTACTTCATAATTGTACTTTTCTCTTTTCTAGTTGGAGTACTACAAGCAGGGCAAAACAGAGGACTTTGTCAAGCTTCTCGAAGCAGCTCGTATAGACGGAAACCTCGACTACAGAGACCATGAGAAAGACCAGATGACCTGTCTGGACACATTGGCAGCTTACTATGTCCAGCAAGCACGTAAAGAGAAAAACAAAGATGCCAAGAAAGAGCTCATCACGCAGGCTACACTGCTGTACACAATGGCAGATAAGATCATCATGTATGATCAGGTATAAAAAACAAGTCTGTTTGATCGATTAAACTAACGCAGCTCCAGTTATGTCTCTATTTAGCAACTGTTTAATGTCATTAACCTTCTCAGAACCACCTGCTGGGACGAGCCTGTTTCTGTCTGCTGGAAGGAGACAAGATGGACCAGGCTGATGCTCAGTTCCACTTCGTTCTGAACCAGTCCACCAACAACATCCCTGCTTTACTTGGCAAGATAAAGATGCAGCCACTATATTATATTATATTATATTATGAACCACTCTGAGCTGAGTACTGGATTAATGACATTGTTTCCATCTAACAGGTAAGGCCTGTATCTCCTTCAACAAAAAGGATTACAGAGGAGCTCTGGCATATTACAAAAAGGCTTTACGTACAAACCCAGGCTGCCCAGGTAAAACACTTCACCCTGAATTATTCTCAAAACAGAGGCCTGCATTTCCAACTACTACTTATACTCTTGTTATACTTTACCAGTGCCAGATAGCAGATAGCAGTTTTTACCATATACAGTCAGTAAATCCATACATATAACAAGCACAGAAAGATTACAGCAGATAGTCTATACCAACCAGCATTGATGCTTTCACCCTAATATCTGTTAAAGTAGTTATTGGCCTCTTCATCAGTTATGCTCTGTCTCCTTCTCCTATAATTATTGTGTTTGGGTGTTGATTGCTGAAGGTTAGTGATCACCGTCTTTCTCTCTGGTTCCTGATTCTCTGTCCAGCCGAGGTGCGGTTGGGGATGGGCCACTGTTTTGTCAAGCTGAACAAACTGGAAAAGGCTCGTTTGGCTTTCGGTCGGGCCCTAGAGCTCAATTCAAAGTGTGTGGGAGCTCTCGTTGGTTTGGCGGTTTTAGAGCTCAACAACAAAGAAGCCGACTCCATCAAGAACGGAGTGCAGCTCTTGTCGCGGGCCTACACCATCGACCCCAGCAATCCCATGGTGCTCAACCACCTCGCCAACCACTTCTTCTTTAAAAAGGTAGTCCGCTCCTTGATCAAATACTAGAACAACATTAAAGTAGAGTGTCACTAAACTCCTGGGTGTTTTCTGTTTACTGGTTAGGACTACAGCAAAGTGCAACATCTGGCCCTCCATGCTTTCCATAACACAGAGGTGGAGGCCATGCAGGCTGAGAGCTGCTACCAGTTAGCCCGCTCCTTTCATGTGCAGGTAGGATCCTAACTCATCTTGAGGATGAGCACAGTTGTTGTTTTTTCATATTTCAATCACTCAAACTTCACTTTTTTTTCTTTTTTGTTGTAGGAGGACTACGACCAAGCCTTTCAGTATTACTACCAGGCCACTCAGTTTGCCTCATCGACCTTTGTGTTGCCCTTCTTCGGCCTGGGACAGATGTATGTCTATCGACGAGACAAGGAGAATGCAGCTCAGTGCTTTGAAAAAGTTTTAAAGGCTTACCCCAACAACTACGAGACGATGAAAATTCTCGGGTCTCTTTACGCAACATCTGACGATCAGGAAAAGAGAGACATCGCTAAAGTACGTGCCCTTTGCAGAAAATGGTATCATAGTTGCAGTCATGAATTTGTCTGTTTCTCCCACTATTCTCGTTGACAAAAAACATGTAACATTAGCTTGAGCTTGTGATCATACCCTCAACATTTGCTCTCTAGGGTCATTTGAAGAAGGTGACAGAGCAGTATCCAGACGATGTGGAGGCTTGGATCGAGTTAGCTCAAATCCTGGAGCAGACTGACATTCAAGGGGCTCTTTCCGCTTACGGCACAGCCACACGCATCCTGCAGGAGAAAGTGCAGGCAGATGTTCCCCCTGAGATCCTCAACAACCTCGGGGCTCTTCACTTCAGACTGGGCAACCTTGGAGAAGCAAAGGTAGCCGTGACAATGCAGTGCGGCTCATTTTTCCAAAGCGTCCTGTTTAACAGCTGTCCCTCAATGATGGGTCTCATTTTTTTTTTTCCGCAGAAATACTTTCTTGCATCGTTGGACCGAGCCAAAGCTGAAGGAGAGCATGACGAACATTACTACAACGCCATCTCTGTTACCACCTCCTACAATCTGGCCCGCCTGTACGAAGCAATGTGTGAATTCCACGAAGCCGAGAAGCTCTACAAAAACATCCTGAGAGAGCATCCTAACTATGTGGACTGTAAGCTTGCAGCATTTAACAAAAAGAAGTGAGAAACTGAGGAAAAATGTTTTAGACTCCTAGGAATTACTGATCTTTTTCTGCTTCAGGTTACTTGCGCCTCGGAGCGATGGCTCGTGACAAAGGAAATTTCTATGAAGCATCTGACTGGTTCAAAGAGGCCCTGCAGATCAATCAGGTACTCGGTCACTTGTTGCAAATTCACTATTATAAGATGAGGATTGAGTAAAAGCTTCTGTCAGACAACCTGATGTTTGTGCTCTTTGTTGCAGGATCACCCAGATGCCTGGTCCCTGATCGGAAACCTTCACTTGGCCAAACAAGAATGGGGTCCGGGTCAGAAGAAGTTTGAACGTATTCTGAAGCAGCCGTCCACACAGAATGACACATACTCCATGCTGGCGCTGGGTAACGTGTGGCTGCAAACTCTGCACCAGCCAACCAGAGACCGGGAAAAGGTGCGGCAGACAGTTCTTTTCTTTTTTCTAAATAAATTGATTTAAACAAATGATAAACAACTTAAAAAACAAACTTACAGATCGATACAGCATTAAGAAACATGTCCTCCTACTTACACAGAGAAACTGATTCAGATTTGGATTAGACTAATTCAAAATTAGAGTTATGCAGTTCTTGGACAGCCTTTTGTAGGACTATGAAGTCTTGAATTCCAGGTCGGCTGTTTGAATCATGAGTGTTAAAGACAAAGAAAACCTCTAAATGTTGTGCGGGTGGTTTTGTCTGAACAGGAAAAGAGACACCAGGATCGCGCTCTGGCGATATACAAACAAGTCCTGCGTAATGATGCCAAGAATCTCTATGCTGCCAATGGCATCGGTCAGTACAACCTCCTTTTATTCAGTCTTTGATTAATTGTTATTGTTTCTTAATTGGATAATAAACAATTGCTTTGTCTTCAGGTGCCGTCCTGGCCCACAAAGGCTACTTCAGAGAGGCCCGAGACGTGTTTGCACAGGTGAGAGAGGCCACAGCAGACATCAGCGACGTCTGGCTGAACTTGGCTCACATTTATGTGGAACAGAAGCAGTACATCAGCGCCGTGCAGATGGTAAGAGTCTCACTTGTGGTTTTCATCAGGAATACTGACCTTTTGACTGTTTTCACTGAGTGTTTTATTGTGCTCCTCAGTATGAGAACTGCCTGAAGAAGTTTTACAAATACCAGAACACGGAGGTGCTGCTGTACCTCGCCAGGGCGCTCTTCAAGTGTGGGAAACTGCAAGAGTGCAAGCAGATGCTTCTAAAGGTAACACAATTCAAGGCTTCTGTTGTGATCTGTCAACGATAAGAATGAGGTACTACTTAGTCTCTCTGTTCTTTCTCCTAAAGGCCCGTCATGTAGCTCCCAGCGACACAGTGCTGATGTTCAACGTTGCTCTGGTGCTCCAGAGGCTGGCCACTCTTGTGCTCAAAGATGAGAAGAGCAACCTAAAGGCTGTACTCAGCGCTGTCAAGGAGCTTGAACTGGCTCACAGGTAGAGTTAGAAAATTCACACCTGCTCATCTCTGTCTGATTTTCTTACTATTCTGAAGCTAAACCTACAATTTTGACTCTCTTCCTCCTCCTCCTCCTCCTCCTTCATCTGCTCACAGGTATTTCAGCTACCTCAGCAAGGCCGGAGACAAGATGAGATTTGACCTGGCTCTGGCTGCATCTGAAGCAAGGTCAGTCTGAATGTATTCTCACTACAGACCAACAAGGGCTGGGCAATATGGCCTCAATTAATATCACGATAACTACTTCACAAGCTGCTCACCCCCTCCCACATTAACCTCGTCTACTTCAGCCGCCGCTCCAGACACTACAACTTTTGAACCGTCCTCCATCTCCTCACCTGTCTTCCCCTCTTTGTTATGGACTGGACGGGGTGAAGTCATGTCTCTGACGTAGGACAGCGTCTTAAAGAGACATGAGATCATAGCCTACCTACACACATCCAAAACCAACTTTGATTTATTTCTTTATTTTGACACCAAATATACCGACATGGGCAAAATGACGTCAGTTAATGTCGTAAATTTCGGTATTGGTTAAATTTTCGGTTTATTGCCCAGCCCTAGTTGAGACATCAACCACAGTCCTTTCATGGTAGAAAATACTATAAACTTGGGTATGCATGTTAGCATCGACACATCATTTCTGCATCTCCCTCTATAACCTCTCTAATCCCTGAACACTGTCTCAGCAGATGACTGTCTAGCATGAGTCGAGTTCAGCTCAAGGTTTCTGCCGGTTCCAAAGAAAGCTGTTGTTGCTGGAGCTGTTTACATTCAGTTAAATAACTGAGGGGTTTCCGTGTGTTGTGGGATTACAGGCAGTGCTCTGACCTGCTGAGTCAGGCTCAGTACCATGTTGCAAGAGCCAGAAAGCAGGATGAGGAGGAGAAGGAGCTCCGGGCCAAACAAGAACAAGAGAGGGACCTGCTCCGTCAGCAGATGTTGAAAGAACAGGTATTCACAGTGTCACTATCACACCACTTTAACACCGTCATACATTAAATCTCATGATTCAGTCCTTTTCTCATTGATTGTTTGGTTTGCCGTCCTCTAACTTGTGTAGGAGGAAAAGCGGACCAGAGAGGTGGAGGAACAGAAGAAGCTCCTGGAGCAGAGAGCTTTGTATGTGGAGAAGACAAAGAACCTGCTCAACTTCACAGAGGCAGCAAAGGAAATGGCCAAAGAGAAGAAGAAGGGAGGCGGGGGCGGAGGAGGAGGACGTGTGAGTGTTGGCAGTGGTGATTTCAGACTCATCAACAGATGCCGTTTCACAAAAGTAACATTCTCCAATTTTTTAATCTAGCGTAAGAAAGGGGGCGACGTGGATGACTTTGTCAATGACGACTCTGACGAGGACCTGCCACTGAAGAAGAAGAAGAAGAGGAGGGGCAGTGGCAGCGAGGAGGACGAGGGGGGTGAGGACGGAGAGAAAAAGTCACGCAAGAAGAGGAGGAGGTGAGTCTGCTGCACTGTGGATATTTGTATGGACACCTGAACAAGGCGTCAATACAAACTCAAAGCATATGTTGTATTTCAGACCTACTAAAGGAGATGATGACAGCGATGATGAGGAAGGATCATCTCGACCCAAGAAGCAACGCAAACCCAAAGAACGGAAGAGGATTGAAAAGGTTCTTGTCACAAGTTCTTGTTGTTCCTGTTTAAGAGCTGACTAAGAAACTAACGCCGTCCTTTCTTTCAGCCTCAGCCTGAACGCCTCCCACCATCTCTCAAAGGGAAGATCAAGTCGAAGGCTATCATCTCTTCCTCTGACTCTTCTTCTGATGAGGATGGACTGAAAATTGCAGAAGACCGGTAAGAGCATTTGTGTAAAAGAATCTGCAGTAAAAAGTGAGACGTCAATTGAGGGACAACTCATGAGTGCTTTTCTCCCACACAGACAACAGCGAGACAGCGGTTCAGGGTCTGAGGACGAGGGCGGCCACAGGAAGCGCATCGCCTCCGAAAGCGACTCAGATGCAGGACCGAGGAATCGGTCGGGCAGCGAGGCAGGCAGCCCCCGACGCTCTGCGGGCTCAGAGGACGACGACTCAGGCAGTGACCGTCAAGTGAAGAAGAGGAGGGTGCAGAGGCAGTCTGACTCAGAGCAGTCAGAAAACGAGAGCAAAAGGAGTCGGTCTGGATCAGAGGACGAGTCCCGGCCTGGTTCACCTGCAGCAGCATCAGACCGAGGATCAGAGCCGGGGTCTGACGCGGGGTCAGAGAATGAGGGCTCCCCCCGCCGTCAGAGCGGCTCTGAACCAGAGGGATCAAACAATGACGACGACAGCGACTAAACCTTTAGTTTTCCCTCTGAGACTTCTCCCACATCAGGCCGAGAAAATCTCCACATCTTCATTTTTATTGTTTTGTATTGAAGCAGGAATTTCAGATGTCTGTAAAATCTCTTTGACTTAGCCTAGAGAAGGGTAGTGTTACGTCTTTCCAGATATGTCGTCACAGGTGCTGTTTTGTTTTAAGATGATTTGAGATTAACGATAATTTCAATTCTGAGAAAAAAGGTGGTAACATCTTTGTAAAAATCTCTGATGTCAGACGTGACACTGACTGGAAAATGAGAGGACACATCAGCACAATGTCCAATAAAAAATTAAAAAGAAATAATAGAAAATGTGTGGTTTATATTTATAAGAGTTAGGTATCAAAGAGGATTAGGGCCACAAGAAGAGAAAAACATAATTACAGGGGGCAGATTTCCATTTTCAAGATTAAAGTCGAAATTTAAAGAAGTTGATATTTCAACTTTATTCATGTTGACTTAATTCTCAAAATTATTATTTTTTTAATTTCCAACTTTCGACATCATTCACAACATTTGGTAATCTTGAAATTTTAAGTTTTAATCTTGAAATTTCGACTTTAATCTCCCTCCTGCAATGATTTCTTTTTTTTCATGTGACCCTAATCCTCTTCTGTGGTTTAGAGACAAAGCCCAATCAAAAAAAAGTTTTTTCTTAGTGTCCTACTTTTTCATTATTGATATGGTCTGTGGTTGGGTTTAAATGACACCCAATATATATTACGTGAGATGCTTATTTACATTTTAGTGTTCAAAATGTACAATGTACAAAATCACGTGACTTGTGGGCCAATAAAAAACAGGTGCAGCTTAAAAAAACCCAAAATGACCTGAAAAAGGTCCCCCACACTCTATAATTTGATTCCAAAAGTGCAACTTCCATATATTCTAGATTCAACACACACAAATATATCATGAAATCAGTTTTCTCATCAGCTGTTTCAGTCCTTAAAAGAGCTCAAATCAGCAAACTGACACCTGCAATGGTTGACTGAGCCTTTATTCTCTCACTCTGGTCCAGTGCACACAACCACAATCATGGAGGCTGCTGACCTGACAGTTGTCCAGATAATGATCATTGCCACCCTCCACAAGAAGGCTAAGCCACAGAAAATCACTGCTGAAAAGGCTGGATGTTTACAGAGTGCTGTATCAAAGCAGATTAATAGAGAGTTAACCAGAGGGGAAATGTGTGGGAGGAAAAGGTGAGCAAGCAACAGGGATGGATGAGCGCAGCCTTGAGAGGATTGTCAAACAAAGCAGATTCAAGAACTTAAGGGGGCTTCAATCAGTCAATGCGTCAAGAGCCACTCCACACAGACATGACCAGGAAATGGACGACAAAAGTGTTGTGTTCCTACTCTCAAGAGTAGCATCTCACCTGTCTAAGAAGAAAAAGAACCAACTATTGCTAAGTAGTACAAAGTCCTGTTTTCAGATGAAAGTAAATTCTGCATCTCTTACAGTCTGGAGGAAGAGAGGGGAGGCAGAATCCAAGGTACTTAAGGGTTCAGAGTGAAGTTTCCACAGTCTGTGATGATTTATGACAATTTATGCACTCTTAGTAGAGTGCATAAATGAACATAATTCTACATTAAACCCTGTTTTTATATAGGTAAGAATAACTTTATTAATCCCCGAAGGGAAATTCAATAGTCTGTTGTCTCACAAAATATGTCTCTAAAAGTTATCTACTATTTACACAAGTCATAAATGACAGATAATGTTTTGATAAGATTTTTTTTTTAAACTATAAGCAACCATGAAGAATCAAACTAAATCCTGAATACTTCACTTTGCATATGATAAATTAAAAATATCAAGTTTAACCTTTTGACTTAAATTGTGAGAAGAGTTATTTCAGGAAACTCCAAAATGACTGAGCTGTAACTGTAAATTTTAGCTCTGAATTTTAAACAAAAGTAGATGACAGGTTTTGTTTTTTTAGTGACAAAGATCTTTTAAAGTAATTATAATCAAAATCTAAAGATAGTTATACTTCAGAAAGAAATTCAGAATTCAGGAAAAAACTGAAACAGCACAATGAAAATTAACCGTTAAACTTTATTAGAGGTTGCTCTGTAGTTGTACACTGGACTTTCTGCACTTAAAAATTACAGTGACACTCCAAGAGAAAGTTTAGGTGTACATATACAGCGCATTTAGTATAATTTCATGAAGATAATAAAAGACCATTTAAAAACTTGACAAATATGGCGAATAGACATAAAATCTCCACATGTAGTGGCGAATAACTGTAGCACAGGAAACTAAGCTTTGGCTGTCTCAAAGTTAAAAGTCGAGACATTCAAGTATAGTCCGAGATACATTAGAGGTATATCCATATGAATTAAATTAAAAAAAGGCCACACAGATTCACTCCTAACAGCACAAAAGTTTCTACATAAAAAAATGCTCGATTCATTCAACTCGATGCAGGTAACTGAAATCACACTGCAATTAAAAACAGGCCATTACCGTCGGACATCATCGAATCCACAATGTTGTGGGTGTTCAAACACGTGGTCTGCTTCTACGAGCAAGAAAGCCGTAACTTAAAGATTGTTTCAACAAATCAGAAAGAAAGTGTGTCTTACTATTGCAACGACTCATGTGTTGAGCAAAGTGCACGTAAAAACTGACAAACAAATGCAGATAAAAAACAGAGACAAGACTCTTTGCAATACATTAGAGCCCCGTTTCTTTTGTAAACAGTTTTTAGGTAATGGCAGCACTTGGTGACTCCTACCAGATGTACAAGGTGACACGATGGGCCAGAATTAGGTGCTGGTACAGTTCCCCGCACAGTGCCGCCTACTGTCTCAGAAAAAAAAAAAAATAAGCCAATGATTGAAATGTATAAAACACCTGCTGTAGGACATGATTTAGGATCGAAAATTAGAAAGTAAAGCATAAATAACAGGATGGTGATGCTGGCTTCATCTGACAAAAACATTTAGAAGAGGAATGAATTGTAACAATGGTTGAGAAGTAATTTTTTTTAAAGAGGGAGTTTGTTTATGACAAAAGGGAGGCAAAAAGAGAGATAGAAAAATCACAAAGTAAAAAAAAAAAAAAAAATCATTGCATCCTGATAACACATGGCTTAGGCCTGTCCCTCAGAAATCTTCACAATCTGACTCCTCTTCTTCAGCAGTCTCCAGCCAGGTCAGCCACTGGTTCACCTGCACCAGGACAAAAACACCTCCATTAAACCGGGTTATTTATGATCATGAGGAAGCTGTACAGGATATGATACTGAGGCTTGCACAGAAATAGCCAGAAGAACTGATAAACTTTGATAAGGAGTGAGAGTCTACAAACTCAAATAGGTCACAACATTAAATCTACATGGATCTGTGTCACTGCTGGGAGTAATGTGAGAAATCGTAAGATTACCTGAAATAATGCTTTTCCCTTCCCTGGATACTCCTGGGTGATATCCTCTTTCCATGAAAGGAAGGCTTCTTCTTCGATTATTTCCATGTCATAGAAGTTGACAAAGTAGCGCAGCAACATACCTGGAAAAGAGGAGCGACTGTTAATCTTCTGCACCACACCTGCTCTGACCTGGACTGGAGCTGCACAGATAAAAGAAAAGTAGGCGTGCTCACCTTTAGGGAAACTCTTTGCATTGCAGTGGACCTGCAGAGCGTACAACGCGCCAACCTGCAGGTCGATGTGATCATGTAGGAACTTCTGCATCACCGGCTTGAAAGACAGCATCAGCTGCTTCTCCTCATCCAGTTGCTCTTTACTGGGTGCTGCAAGCTGCTCTTCGTCATCATCAGGGTTGATCTCATAGGCAATGTACTGCAAGAAGCTGACGGACAAGAAGGTGATCAAAATACTGGAAATCTCTTGTGTATGTGATCAAATTAACCACAAACTCATTGGGTTACAGTGCAAGATAACGTGACTGTTTTCACAAACACCATCTGCTGTTGTACCTGGTCATTAGGATGTTCACAAAGCCTTTATCTGTGTGCAGTTTAGGAGAGATGTTGTCTTTAATCCACTTGTATATGGACTGTGGAGAGGGATCAACTTTAATCTGCTTCAGCAGCTCCTTTTCCAGTTTCATGAGTGGGAACAAAAAGCTGAGGCCTTTGCCCTCCAGGATCTCCAGCATCCTGTCTTTGTTCTGGTCAATTTCTACATGGAAAATAAAAATCCATTACTTAGCAGCCGAAGAAAAAAGTACAGAGCACACAGAAATGATTTGGTTTGGTTGTATTTGGACGTACCAGGAAGCATCTTCTGCATGTTGACCTTGCTCTGCTGGAACAGGTCGGTCAGCCACTCTCGGTCCTTCAGTTTGACCAACTGCTGCAGGCAGAGCAAGAACAGAGGAAAGTGTGCACCGTTCTCCAGCTGATGGGCCAAATCCGAAATGCTGACCAGGTCCTCAACGACTGAACGTGCTGCAAACTGTGCCAGGTAGGACTTCACCAGAGGGACTTCCTCCTCAATCTTTGGACACAGGTCCAGAACACTCAAAAAGGCCTAGTGAACAAAAACAGAGTTAATTAAACTCTCGAACAAAAGGCCTTTATATAGCCTTCGATTATATTCTGATCAATGACTTAAAAAGGGTACTACACTGACCTGCATCAGGTTTTCACTGTTGACAAGTCCTTCTTTACACAGTGTGTGGATGAGGGTGCTCGTTTGCTCCTTATCCTCATCCGAACGATCAAGGGAATAGACCACCATCTTGTTCAGCATCTCAGATGAGAAGTGTTTTGGAGCCTTCATGTCCTTCACAGCGTTCACAGCCTCCTCAATGTTCTTGTTGTTCAGGTAATCTGCAACTAATGACTCCTAAAAAAAAGGGGGGAAAAAAACAAGATGATGAGATTGTGTGTTGGACTGTTTAATTAGCAGGAAGGAAGCGGAATGCGAGAAACTTACTGTCATTTTGCGCAGCTCTTCCTTAGTAGGAGGAGCCCTCTTGTTTGACTTGGCAGGTTTTTCCTGAATAGGTGGAGGATTGATTTTCAGGCCAAGCTGTGGCGACTAAACAAAGAAAAGCTAAATGAGTACATGGTCACGAGAACCTGTGATCACCATCAGCATATTTGCACTTCACATAAACGTGTTACCTGTCCTATTTGGGGACCTTGGGCACTTGAAGGTATCATAGTCATCTGAGGCTGCAACTTGGACATCGGTTTCTTACTCAAAATGAAAGACTGTGCTGGTCTCAGACTGATCTGGAGGGGAGAAAACAGCATTTTTAAAAAACAATAACAGATGATTTCCTATCCAAGCCACATTTCATGACATGACTTTTTTTTTACAAAACACACCGTGATTGAAAATAATGACCTATTTTAATGCAAATCAGACTACCACATGTATAAAAAGTGTAATCGACTAAAACTATGAATACAAATGCAATGCAGGCGGTTGTACCTCATCAACGTTGACCTTCCCTTTCTTGCTGAATCGTGGCGCCATATCCTTCGACTGTATCTGTGCTGTGTGATTCTGTTTATGGCTGAACACTGGTGAATTCTGCCCCTTTAAAAAAGAGATTTTATAGACTCAGTTATGAACATCAGATTTTAAGTTATGTAGTGAAGAATCAGTCTGATGATGCCAAGTATATACCTGGGTTGGTTTGTTGTAAGGCTTGCTTCCTGCTTCATACTGAGGCTGATGCACACCATTACCATTCGCCATGTGACCATTGTAGTGCGGGTTTGTACGATGGCGTCCCATGGTGGGGGAGTAGTGGTCTTGAATGACTCCTGGGCCTGTACCTATGCTACATCCTTTGGAAAACAGAACCCAAAAACATTAAATCCAAATCCAAAGTTGTGTATCTTTGTCTTCTTGATTAGAGGTATGAAGGGCTGTAACGTACCAGGCATCTGTCCAAACATATCAGCCAGTCCACCCAGAGTTTCTCTGTCAAACTTAATCTTCCCTGGCAGGAAAGAGGAGTTCTCCATGAAGAAATCATTCCTCATTGCATCGGTGGGAGGTGGAATAAAAACCCCTAAATCCTGCAATGCAAAGTAGGATACAGGCTGACTTTATGCCACACAGGATTATACTCTTATTACTGGGCTATATTCCCATACAATTCAGGGTCTTCATCGACCAGGCAAACCCACCTTAACTGCTTCCTGACGGATTTGAGTGATGGTCTTTGGTCCGTTGTCTACTTGAGCTTTACGAGGTGACCAGTCGTTTTCTCGTAGCTCCACCGTATTCTGCAGCAGGAATCTGATCCTCGCTGGCAGTTCCTTGTTGTTTGTTAAGGACTGCATGCGACCAAAGTACTGATTCATCAAGGACTGAAAGAAGATTGTGTTTTAGTTGATTAAATCTTTCTTTTTTAGAAAACAACCATCATTTAACTGCATCACTAGGTAGATACTCACCCTAGCCTTTTCATGATCAAGTTTAGGTCCGACTGTTTTCATTATCTGACAGAGGCATTCCAGATCTTCACCCATATCCTTGAGTTGGACTCTCTTCTTTTTATCCAGCAGCTTAAAAAGGTTAAAACAGAATATTATACTATGAACATGAATTCTACATATGGTTTAAAATTTCAGCCAACCACACAGATGCCATTCAACTTACTGTTTTGATGCACTTATGAAGGATAGATTCGTGGATGAGGTTGAGTTTCCCGAGCTCCCCAATGAATTTGATGTTGCCCAGCATCTTGATCTTAGCGATAGCACGCTGCTCCTCCTCCTCAGAGGTGAGTGGGGTGTCGATTTTTTCAAAGACTAAAAGGAGAGAGAGGGAGAGATAAATTAGAGACCATTCAATCATGATATGGCCGCGGGTGTTTGGGAACCGGCCACAAATATCAGGAGTTTATCCACTTACTTTCAACATTTTTGGCACGATTCTCAAACTCATCCTGGAGCTTGGAAATCAGCAGCCTCCTGAAGGTCTGTAACAAAAGATTCAAGCATTCAGTATTCAAAGAAAACAGGGGGAAAAAAACAGTAAAATAAAGATCATTTAAAACATTTTTTTAACTTACATTGTTCTGCTTGCTTGATGATTGATTTTCTCCTGATGGACTTTCAAAGTTAGGTGCATCCTCTGCCAAGCGTAGACATAGTTGAGCGTACAACTGGCTATACTTGGGCTCTTCGAGGGCTTTGTCGACAATCTATAAGAAAGTGAAATTACTGATGAAGTGACTGCTGTGATAAACTGTGAGTATGATAAACAGGAGATTTAGGAAAAGACTTACCAAAAGGACGATTCCTTTGAGAACAACTTTTGAATCAACACCCACATTGAGGAGCTCCAAGCATAGTTTGTCAAACTTCTCAGGAGTCAGCTTATTGAGAATGCTTGTGGAGAGAAGATTACAGGAGGTCAAATAATGCCACACCTTAATAAAAACTGCATGATTTCACCTTTTCCCTGATGGCTCTTTTCTACATGAATAATGCTACACAGAAATGCTATATGAACTGTGAAAGAGAATTATAGATTGATTTAAATTGAAGCTTACCCTCTCACTTTTCTGAAGATTGAATCATTGCGCCCTTTCTCACGTGAGGAGCTCGCATCTCGTCTAGTGCTTCGAGAAGGTACCCATCTCTGAACGCCAGGACCTGGGGTTTTCCCCAGGAACTCGCTGCAAGGAAAACAAAACGGCAAGTGTTACAATCAAATATTTATGACCTTATAGTATAACACCTTATGTCACCTTTACCTAAATAACACCCTGTTTGAAACCAGATCCCCATGGCTGAGTGCTATCTATCATTACTGAGGACCACTCTCTTCTCTTCTCCCTCTGTGGGGCTGTTAGTAACCCATCACGTATCGCTGTTCTGAGATAAGTTGTGCTCTTTGTTTTCCCTAATGCTCTTTTGATGGACATGTTTATATTTGATTGACATGTCTACACTGTCACTCATATTTCACCTAACAAAAATTTATTTTGGTTAAGACACAGAAGAGACCATGAGCAAACATCACTTCATTTTACATCACGAAATATCATTTGCTTCTCTTCAGTGTTTCAGGTGTGCTAAACTGTTGTAACACTTTGGCGTTCTGGTTTCATTTAGACAGTAACTGGCCAATGAAGTTCACCACACGGTGGAGCAGACTGACTTCCTGAGTGTTCATTCCTCATTTTATTCAGACTAATAAATTGTTACGATTTATGACCAATAATACATGACACATCTCAACACATGAGTAATTTAGTTGAAAAAGGAAGTCAAACACAAACAACACCTAACATTTTGCGCTTGAATAAATGGGACAACACCTGAGCTGACAATAAGTCATAAAGAAGGGAAGGTAAAAAAAAGGTCTAGAGTATCCATTTACATAATGAGATGCTTTATCCACATAGAATTTAAGGATACAGATGCCATCAGAAAAAAGAGCTAATATAAGTGGGGATGCAATAGGCTAAGTAATGCGGCACATGGGTTGTTAACTATCATAAAGATTAGTCAATGTTCCATGTAAAAGGAAATTTATGAAAAATCACCTGTTGCCGACAGTCTTGGGATAGTGCTGAGGTGCACCCCCACCTCCTCCCCCTACACTGTGATACAAAAAAAAAAAGAAATAAAAGGTTTTAACTTAACAAAAAGGAAATGTGCCTCTTAGGCTTTAAGTGGTGTAGTCAGAAGGGGGGGGTTACAATATACAATTGCTGTGTGTTATGGTAATGTGGGAATACCTGAAACGAGAAGGACCCCCTGGTGCAACGACACTCTCCACTTTGGCGGCTTGACTAAGTATATCTGAAAAGAATAATGTTCCGGGAGTAGGGCTGGAAAAGCGACCTGAAAAAAGGAGGACAGATATAAGGCCATAAATTTACTGCATTTTCCCAAACATGTTTACGTGATTTTCATTATATTGCATTTAGGCCTGGACGATTTGGCCAAACAGATGATCACGATATACTTTGTCATATTGTCCAATCTCGATTATTATCCCGATTTATAGTACAGATGATTTAAAACCTGCTTTAGGTGTGCTCACTCGGCAATAGTGATAGAGGGTAAAGTAGGTTTGGGTGTATTTGATAGCTGCATGTAGAGATGAGGTCGGTAAGAGTAGTCGTAGAATTTGCATGCTATCTTTATTTAGCGATTTAGTGATTTTCATGGGAATTCGTGTGGTGATAAGAAATATTTTAGTCAGCTGGTCATTTTTACTCACTTCTGCCATATTTTGGTTCTCTCAACTGCAGCTGTTATTGTGCCAAGAACCCTGAGTCCTCACCAGGAAAGAAACTAAGTTTACAGTTTCTATACATATATATTTTTAAGCATTTTTTGTTCATGAATGCTCAATTTCAGTTTTTTCTTTGTTGCATGTTTATATAGTCCCTTCATGGCCCTTTCCCCCTCCATTTTGGGCATTGCACAGTTAAAAATAAAAGAAAAACTACTTTAATCTGTCATGTATTGTCCTATTTTGATGACAAGTTCTTCTTCTTGGGTTATTATTTCGTGTCAAAATCACCCTGCGATAGTGATGGTGTTACTAATTTTAGCGTTAATGTTCTCGGGTTAAGACGGTAACAAACACGCAGTTGTTGACGGTCTAAGGACATTACAATACGAGGAAATGCCTGAAAAGGAAGCAGCACGTTTAGTTAATATTAAACGATGCAAATAAAACGAGTGAGTGCGACACGCGAGTCTACCTCACACGTGTCCGTCCGAGTGAATGTGACACTGGGTGGTACTAGCACAGCATGCTAAAGTGGCAGGTCATGCTAACAAATCACGTTGACGGAGGATTTCTCAATCGCTTTGTTTGTGTTCTCCATTTCCTATTCTCCCTATCAGCCTATCATGAGTCGAAATCGCTCACTTCCCGATAGTCTTGAGCTTTTAGCCTAAGAGTCAGGAATCCAAGTTTGCCTTAAGTAACCCAGACATGACCCAAATAACTCAGAAGCGCGGATTCACAGAGGAGCTTTTCTCGGAAATATCGAGGCGAAGGACTTCTCAGAAAAAAACTGACGTGATCTATTTTGACTCGTTTCGACGACGTTATTTCGATTTAAACGAAAATAACCCGAAACTCTGCTTTCTCGACACACTATACTACAATTTTGTTTAAGTTTAAAAATACACCAAAATTAAAAACACACTGACAAAACGTCTGGTGTTTCGAGTAAACTTGTAACCGTGTTGTATAAAACAGCGAATTACGTGTTAGTGAAAATAAAGGGTGAGGTTTAAACATAAAAAAACACCCATCAGCTGATTTGATGAGGCCTTTGTTCACGGACCGGATGTCCACTTACAGCGACATCTTGAGGGGTTTTGTTCTCAGAGCTGCTGCCGGTAAGCTAACAGCTAACGAGCTGTTAACGACTCTCTAAAAACCCGTTAGTTTATTCTTAACACGAACCCATTTCAGTTAAACAGACGTAAACTAATGTTTAAACCAAATGTTAAAGTTTATATCCCGTTAGATTATCGACCTGACAGGGATTTACAGCTAAACCGGGTCGATTAGCAAACGTTAGCAAGAGGAGGAAAAGATCGAGATGTCTTACCTTTACAAAAGGACCGTCAGTTTAATTGTGTTTTTCGTCGAGCGAAATAAAAAAAGAAAAACAGAAAAGAAAAAAATGAGCCTGAATTTCGAGTGAAGCCTCTTAAAGGTTGTTGAGTGTTGGAGCTCGTCCGTAGGCTCGGCGCTAACTCTCCACCCGGCTTCTCAGGAGGAAGAATGCTGACTGGTCGGCTACGTCATGCGGAAGCCGCTTTTTGTACGGAGGCCGTGAGACGTCATCGTCCCACCTAGTTAACGTCACGTCACGTACAGAAAATAAAATCGTGATAGTTTCGCAATCCTGTGAGGACATGTCAGCCAGTACAGCTAGAGGGTTAAACCCACACACACTTAGTGTCGGAAATGAGGTGTAAACCAGGCACTAATACATTTTTATGAATACATGGACAGACTAATCAAATGGTTGACCACAACTCAGCCACAAACTCTACTTTTAGGAAGCTTTTTCATTTTCATTTTTATGAACACAACTAGACTGGTGTTTATTGTTTTTTTTAGTTACTACCGAAGAAGTAGAAGCTGATAGTGGTGTAATGAGGACTGACAAAATAATAGGAACACCCTTTCCAATCCAAGTTTATTTATGAAGCACATAAAAAAAAAAAAACACTGACCAAAGTGCTGTACAGTAAAAAAAAAATAAAAAATAAAATAAAATAATAATAATAATAATAACAAAAAATAGACAATTAACATGAACAATAAGACAAACCACAGGAACACATTAAAAACAGGGGGACATCAATGGTTTGGTAAAAACACGATTAAAAGGCCAAGTTGTCAGGAGTTAAAAGCCAAGGAGTAAAAGTGCGTTTTCAAATTTGATTTAAAAACAGGCAGTAAGGGGGACAGTGAACATGAAGAGAAAGAGCATTTCGGAGCTTAGGTGCAGCAACGGGAAAAATACCAGTCACCCCTGAACTTTAATCTAGAGTAGAACTGGGGACAGTCAGAAGGCACAGGTCAGAGGATCTGAGGGTCTGAGATGAAACATAGGGTTTTAAAAGGTCAGAGACATAAAAAGGAGCAAGCCTGCTTAAAGATTCATAAGTTAATAACAAAATTTAAAATCAATCCTAAAACGCAAGGGAAGCCGGTAAAGAGAGGCTAAAATAGGGAAATGTGGTTGCATTGACAGTGACCGGATAAAACATGAGCTGCGGCATTTTGAACGAGCTGTAAACGATTAAGAGAGGTTTGGCTGGAACCAAAATAAAGTGCATTGCAATAATCAAGACGAGTTGTGATAAAAACATGCATAACCTTCTCAAAATCACTGAAAGATAAAAAAGACTTGTCCTTGTTTAAAAGACGAAGATAATAAAAACTGCCTTTTCCAACTGCATTTATCTGTAGATCCATTTTAGGGGTAAATACAGCTGCGTAATGTCAGCATAGAAATGAAATGTTATATTTGTTAATATTTTTTTTTTAAATTTTTATATAATTCACTCCCGTACATATAAAGTTTCTCATCAACTTTAAAAATTATGAATTGTAAATGTCAGCAAAAATGCTGAAACTTCAGAAAAAAATATAGAACTGTATTAGCCATGATGATTAGTTCTGACTGTCATGTTGTGATCTAGACCTTTTACCTCAGTCTGATATCACAAAAGAGAGGACCGGGGCTCTCTTTGGATTTTATCTTTACTCTACCTGAGCAAATTCAACATTAAACCAAATGTCCATCTTCTTTGTTCACCTGTTTGATTGTCTCTGTCATACATCTGACCTCTTAGCTCATAATTTCAAACCAGGTTTATGAATTGTTGTATTAAATGTATGATCCCACACTTTTTAATTCTTAGTCAAATGATTTTGAATTTCCTTGCGATCTTCAAAATATTTCTTCTATTTTCAGTCATTGTCCTTTAGCATTTCTATTCAGGATCTTCTGTCACAGCCGAACAAGACACACTGGGTTGTAAATTCTCCAGTGAAGCTATATTGATCCTTTTAAGCTGACTTAATTTCCTTGCCCCCTTGTAAAGTGATGTCCAATCACAGGGTTATCTACTGGGCATCGACTCAGGAGCCCAAAGGGATTCAGTGTTTTTGCCCTTGGATGCCATAGGAGGAGGATCAATTGACTAAGGACTACAAAAACAACAGCCTGCCACAGTGATACCACAATACTTAGTGAGCCAATTTGTTGTAGAAGTTTTGGACCTTTTAACATTTTTTACTCTTTTACATGATTATACAATAACCAAATAAGTTACTACAACATGTAAGAAAATCCATGATCTCAAGAGGAAGAATTCCCATGTTTATGGTGTACACATGACTTCTCCTGCTGGGGTTTGATTGGTTAAAAATGACAGCCTATTCTCCTTTTTCGCCTCAGGGTATGTTTTACAGACTGTTGAGTCTGTTTCTTCAGAGTGTTAATATTTAAGACCCTAGTCTGCAGTATTTTATCAACACATGTGGTTGATTTCAAGCTGTTTTACTATGGGTGACAAGCTGTGTGGCGTAACAGTTCCATAGAAAAAGCCAGGTTGTTTTTATCATAAGGAATCAAATAAGACCTCTGTTATTGTGCAAGATGAGTCAGTTCTGCCGTGTGTCAGCAAATGACTACCGGGCATGACCAGACTGATCACGCCTCTGTCTGTGTCAGGTTACACTGTGCAGCCCTTTATTAAAGATAAACTGTCCTGAAGATAGTCCTCATTTACATAAAACATAGACACACTCTTCTGGCAAAGTTTGCTCCAAAGCGTATGAACTCAGTGCTTCTAAGGAACAGAGGTAGAAAATGAAACCAATCATGATTTATATAAGGTCACTCTTATTAGGTCAAATTTAGATCAGTTAGACATGTAGAACAGGTCTAAACCTTATTCCTTGTATGAATCTTTATATAGAGACTCAGCAGTATCATCATGAGCAAGCAGTAGGTGTGAAACTGTAAGCTCTACTTTTTCTGATGTGGTTAAACCTGCAGGGTGAGTACCTCTGGGACTTTTTGTATTGGGACCATGTTTGATTCTAAAAACAAATTATACCCTAGAGGTAAACACACCATGTACTGAACACTTGGGATGAACATGCAATAAGCAAATCAGCGGGTTGTAATCTCTTTATACTATCTGTATTGTCACAGTGTAACATGAGTCCATGACCCTGTCTCACTCGCTTTTTCACACTATTACATTTTGAGACTAGAGTCAATCCAAGAAAAACTAACCAATGAGTCTATTTCACACCAGAAACAAAGTTATTTTCCTTTTTTTTCCCTGGATTGAGACTCTGCCCTTAATATCAGCAAACATATTTTTTTAAGAATGACAGGTTCTGCTTGTGTTATGTGTATTTTTGGTGTGCTAGTTGAAGAGTGAGAATAACACAGTGTCAGGGTGTCTTGTTTATTTGCTTGTATCCAATCACTGGGGGAAAGATAACTCCATGTAGGTATTATTAATGATTATCCAGTCACTTTCAGAGCAGTCGTTTCATCTTGTTTATTCTATAATTCTCAGTTGGCCATGGGAACATTAGACCTTTTCCTATGCCCGCACTCATTTGCTGCCTCTCCTCTGAGGGTCATCAATCATTCATCAAAAGCAAAATGAAGCCAGTTGTCAGACAGTAAACACTTCTCTCAGAGTTAATTAAGCCCAGTGTGGCAATAAAATCTGCAAAGGCTAGCACCGCATACAAGGAATAACAGTTCGCTTCCACTGTGAGCTGCTGGAAGTTGATATCGCTTCATTGCATTTCTCCTGATGTGCTATTTCATGATGTAGTTCAAACACAGTTTGACTTTGAGTTTGGCTGAAAGGTGAAACTACAAACTTTATATTTTACAAATAAGTTATCACTGGAGTAATAAAAGTTTGTGGCCTTTAATGTCATCTTCAGTTTAAAGACAATGTAATGTAAAGTGACATTTATACATGAAGTTTTTAATCCTCCAAATACAAATATGGGAAGAGTGACTTTATAAGAAAAGTGAAATGGTGAAGAGAGACAGAAGTACCAAATTAATAGAAAATGCAGAACTTTTTCAATACAAGAACATCATTAGGATCCAAGAAACTTTTATGAACATGGTGAAAACATTCATAAAGATTCAACACAGGACAGACCAAAGACATTTAAACCTGGTTTAAGATTATATATGGTTTTAAATTATACAATTGTCCCATTAATGCCAAGAGAGGTGTAATGTTGATGCAGAAGGTGTTGAGTAATTATTTTGAGAACAGAAAGTGACTTTTTGTACATTTTAACCCTAATAAAACACACAAAAGGCCAAAAGTCTAGTCTTATTTGATCTGAAATCTTTAAAATGCCCAGGAGAAAAAAAAACAAAACAAAAAACAAACACTTACATAATGTCATGAAATTTGCATCCAAATCCCTTTGAAATATATATTTTTTGTTGATTTCTTGATTTGATTGATTGCAACTCTTTACTTGACAGCTTGTAAAGAAAAACATTTTCCACCATTGTTTTGTTGAGGCAAGAACTCTGCCATGAAACCTCCTGAACAGAGTTCAAAGAGCGTGTATCTGATCAATTATATATCTGGTGAAACAAACACAGTAAACATAAGGTAGCATTTATTGTACAAAGGATCACAAGGGCTTCATGTTAGGAACTAATAAATAATGTAACACAGAGAGATAAAATCCTGTAAAACATGCAGGTTTGATGGTGGAGAAAGATTTATTTAAGGCTACAACAAAAACAAGCTTTCTGTGTTTCTTACCTTAAGTACAGGGCTAAGTTATTTCAGTGGTAAGAATGTAGTCCTTGTTATTGGCCTGTGGGAGTGGGAGATGTAAAAAAGGCTGATTAAAAAAATGGCTAAACACTTAGAAGAACTGAAGAAGTATGTGTGTGAGCTGGGAGAGCAGAGGCTCTGTCAGAGAAGATCATGAGCAGCCTTCATTTGCAGCAGCTTTGAGTTTAATATAAGGTGTATCATACTGAGTGGAGGCTATTTGCTGGTCACTAAGCACTTTCAGAGACTAAGAAAATGAGTCAGTGGTCCCCAGTAGAATAGCCATTATCGTTTCAAAGATGTAAACTGGGATGATGATCTGAATAAATACAGATTTCAAAACCATTAATCTTATACTCTTGTACCATTAAATACTTAATGGTGGATGAGGAAGACCAGTAGATCATACAATATGAATAAATCTGTTTTTTTTATTTGTCTGTGCAGTGAAATCTGGTAAATCTTTACAAAGATATGCAA